TTGTTACCCAGAACGATTTATTGCAAAATCTATGAATCCTAGGCCACAAAAGCCGCCCACGCATAGAGTCCCGAAGAAACCGCTCTACATAAACCTTCAATTCAATGGAGATATATCTGCGGAAATACTAAAAAATCGACTGTCGCGCTCACTCAAGAAGACTTTCTTCGCAGCTGAACTACGACTAACTTTCTCCACAAAACCTATGATTCATGTGAACGTGAAGGATAAGCTACCACTGTTGGCCTCATCAATGTGTATCTACCAATTCACCTGCTCGTGTGGAGCCAGGTATGTCGGCCGTACCCAGCGTTCGCTTTCCAAGCGTATCACCGAACACTTACCAGCATGGTTTTACAAAGGAGAAAAGCGATGTCCCCGCAGCTCCATCTTAGAACACCTGATAGAATCCGGACACCAAGCTGCACCCCAAACAAACTTCAAAGTCGTCTACAGAGTAAGAAGTAGTCTTCCAAAAGGTGTACGAATCAGACTTCTTCAAACTGCAGAAGCAATGGCGATTCACTTGCTAAGCCCTGAACTCTGCATACAGAAGAGGTTCGTTCAATCACTAAACTTACAATGGACTTAACCTACATTATTACCTGAAAGGTAAATTCTACCTAATTTTTTTTCTGTCTCTTCATTGGTATTATTCTGTCTTCTCAAATCTTAGATTTGTTTACACTAATTTTACAGTAATGAATGTTTGTCTTACGCCTTCACAATCCAACACCTTTAATATCCTCAATTTGTTGTGACACCTGTCATTGAAACAATGTTGTTCAAATTAGTGAAAGCAAGAATCTTGTTCAAATTTCTTGCGTTGATTTCGATGAGTGCTTGAAGTCCTGTGAACATAGTGAAGTCACAATGTAACAACATGCCTAACCATCGCCTCCCCCGACGGGCATTACTAGCTGATATAGATAGGTGCAGGTTGGAAAAGAGTAAGTGGTGGCCAAACAAAAACATGGCCTCATCAATCCATGAAATCCTTGACAGTTAAACTGAGTCGGTCAGGTAGGGAGATGCAGACTCCCGGGTTGGGGGCCTCGGGACTCTACGAATCAATGGCTGGAGACAATAGGTGACATGACTGAAAATCGTTGTCAATGGCTGGCGCAGATGTATTCAGTCTCTGTAATCTTTCATATTCCTTTCTATCGTTACCCATTCTGTTTCACTCTTATACTTGTCAAACTCTATTGATTCTCTTCACTCATCTTCTTGTCTACCTTTGTGTGCTATATGGAAGGTGGCAACTCGAACTGGTGCACTTCGGTGGCAAGTTATATGTTGAATCCAGACAGACAGAGACAAACTTTTTCTGACATAGATAACACTGAGTAATGTGGTTATAAGAAGAGATATGGGTCATTGTTACTTGACCACTTGAGCTTTAGCCAGATGGTCAGCCTGGTTCGAACCCTATCCCCCCTGCCTGCCTATTTAAGCCTAAAGCAACTAAGCAGTATCCCTAACTTTCACACTAATGGTAATTAAGGAATTTGTTACAAGTAACTAAGTTCTAACTAACTAACTAGAATGCAATTAAAAAATGCAACCATTTAACACATAGACTGGTTATATCTGAATACTACGAGTTTAACGTTAAAAATCAATTAACAGGAAGAGACTTATGTGCTTTTGATATTAGTTGGTTGAAGGCAATCGGCCACAGGAAGCCTTAGGTACCACCTAGGTTTTGTGATAGTTGGCAGTCACCAGTCAGCAAGACAGCGTATCTACATTCCGTTGAAGGAATTCATGTTTCTTCTGAGTTTGGGGGACTCGCATCACCCAATGCCATCATTTGGGAGTCCGAAACCATTCCTTCCGATTGGAGCACCTCAGTTCTGCTACCGTTCCACAAAAAGGGAGACAGGTCAATATGCGAGAACTACCGAGGCATAAGTCTGATTGATATCGCTGCTAAGGTTTTTGTTTCCATTCTCCTGAACCGCTTCGCGGCCGAACGCCACGTGCGAACAAGGCCAAATCAAGCCGGATTTCGACCTGGAAGAGGCTGTGTTGATCAATTATTCACACTGCGAAGAATTTTGGAACACAGGGACAAATTCCAACAGCCGACGGTTGCTTGCTTCATCGACTTCCAAGCGGCATTCGACTCAGTTGATCGAGGAGCACTCTGGTATCTAATGGAGCTCGACGGAGTTCCGACCAAGCTAATCAACCTGCTCAGGTCATACTACTCCAACACCAAAGCTCGAGTCCGAGTGAACGGTGAAGAGTCCCGCACTTTTGAGGTAACCAGCGGTGTCCGGCAAGGTTGTCCAGCATCCCCCATCCTGTTCAATTTCACAGTTGATTGGATTTTGCGGCACGCCCTAACCGAGCACCACGGCGTCCAACTTTCGCCCGATATTCACATAACCGACCTCGAATTCGCCGACGACGTCGTGCTGTTAGCTGAAAACTTCCCCGATATGCAACAGGCGCTCGACCAGATAAACCACCTCGCGTCTACTATCGGTTTGAAAATTAACACTTCCAAAACCAAAATGTTTTCGAACACATCCACCAGCAATGATGAAATCTTATCCTTAAATGGAGCACCTATTGAAATTGTGCCATCCTTCAGATATCTGGGATCCATAATGCTCCCCAACGGCCAAGCGAAAAACGAAGTGAATGCGCGAATCTCCAACGCCCGGAATGCGTTTCTACAGCTGAGGAGCGTTCTATGGAGCAAGAGAGAAATCAGTCTCAGGACTAAAATTCGGATCTACCAAGCTTCCATACGACCCGTTCTGCTGTATGGCTGTGAAACCTGGCCTCTTCGCGCGGAAGATTTACGCAGACTCGAGGTATTAGACCATTGGTGTCTCAGGTACATTCTGCATGTTCGTTGGCAGGACAAACTCTCCAACGAAGAAGTGCGTCGGCGTTGCTACAACATCAACCAAATTCCAGTACTGGTCCAACAACGCCGCCTTCGGTGGTTTGGCCATGTTCTGCGCCGACCAGATGACGATCTGGTCAAATCAGTTCTAAATCCCTCGCCATTACCATCTTGGCGATGTCGCAGAGGCGGACAGCTGAAGACATGGCTTGGTACAGTCAAGGCAGATATGGAGTGCCTGGGGCTACAAACGGTCTACGGACTCCGTATGTGGAACAAGAATTGGATATCCCTATCGCAAAACCTTGCTTCAGATCGCCGCGCCTGGGCAGCGATGATTCGAGACGTTCATGAAGCCGGCTCATCCTCCCGTAGGAGATAGCCGAAGTAAAGTAAAGTATCTGCAGTCAGAGACGCTACCACTCGGCAACTGGTATTCTGGTTCACAATTGACCTCCTTAAAGACTGTATTGGATACTTTGATACTTTGCGAACCTGACTGATTGAATTCAATAGTTGGTTTTTGTAAGGGTTAGATTTGTTTTTACCGGAATGACCACGGAACATAGGACTTCAACAACAAATCTCCACTTTTTTGTATTTTCTGCTATCCTTTTCATTTGGGTCCACGATCGACCATAATCTTTCGTCCATGTCACCCTTGCACTGACGACCTACTCGTCGTTCGATGGCCTCCTCAGTGGCGTATGCCCTATCTATCTCCATTTTCTCCTACATATCTGTTAAGTAATCGGCTCTTGCTTGTTGGTCTGTTTCCATTGTTTCTGGCGGGCCGGCCGGTCGGCCATTCGATCTTGAATATGGCGCCAGCAAAGGCAGGCAGCTATTGATAAAAGTCTGTAACTTGTTGGAAATCCTTTCCATGACACGCTATGTTTCCGACCCGTATAGAAGAACTGACTAACTGACTGACTTGACATTACTGTTGAAGGTCCAAATCTTGTTCTTCATGCTGGTTGAGAGAGAGAGAGAGAGAGAGCAGAAGATTTCCAAACTAGTTTTAGGTTGATAAAGCTTATACCTTACGTTTCCGATACTGTCTGGCTTTGGCATCGCCATTTGTTCTGTCGTCTGTGGCTGAAATGATGCTGGCTTCCTAGCCAGATGATAAATGAAGGAAGGTTACCTCTGTAAAATTTCTCCCCATTTGATGGTGATTACTGCTGGTTGTGGTTGTTGTTGCTGTTGCTGTTGGCTGGTTGATTGGCTATCTTCATCACCACCGTCTTCTCCATGTTCACCTGAAGTCCTGTCTTCGCTGCCTGTTCGCGTCTTCAGCTAGTTTACTGCTTTTCGTCTGAAAGTCTTCGAGTTTGTATAAGAGTAAATATAAATCACCCAATCGCGTGAAATCCAGATCTTCTAGAGTCTTCTTATCGATCAGTGCAGCGTATTCCTGTCTTCTTGCTACTCAAAGTCTTCCGCATGATCTAGTCGACTACAATTAGGATTATCGTCGGTGATAATATAGGCAGTCTTGTTTTAATCCTGAATTCATTTCACAAACTTCGCTGAGTTTTCCTCTGTGGATCACCTGACACGTAACATTGTCATTTATAGCCAGCCATCTGTTGAATGAGGTTGATAAAGAGTTGGACACTTCAGGACATAGTGTTAAAGTAGTCTCCAGATTACTTCACCGTCAGCGTTCTCCAAGGCCGAAAGGTACTGTTCACGAGGATTTGTTTGACTTCATCGTTAACTTCAACGTAAAATCCAGTTTCTACATCTTTTAAAGTACTGGTTTTGTAGGGATTTTGTTTGATTGTATGGAGAATTTCATCATGATGAGCTGGCATCAGTTAGAGAACTACTGGCAAACCTGCTAGGGAGTACTGGACAGCTGTTTCGTCCTAATTTGGGACTCTTCACAGTACGCACCCACCGGGATTCGAGCCCAGGACCTTCTGGTTACAAGGCGAGCTCGTAGACCAGAAGGTCCTGGTCTCGAATCCCAGTGAATGCGTACTGCTGAACAGTCCCAAACTAGGCTGACAAAACAGCTGTCCAGTACTCCCAGGTTCTACATCTTTATTTGTAAACACTACAAATTATGCAGCATTTTCATTAGTGTTACTATGCAGTTTTTTTGTTTTTGAATATTTTATTTTAGTTCACCTACAGAATTTATAATAACCTTTCAGTTCACCGAGTTGTACATAATGGTGTTAATATCCTGGCAAGAATTATAAAAAAAACACCCAGTAAATCTCATCGATTATTTTCAAATCAAATCGCTACGGAATGTAAAGAAAATTTAAGTAGTACAGAAGAAAAGCCTAAAAAACGTGTTTGGCCAAGACAATTACCTCCTGAGATTGAAAGTATTTCAGTGCCTCCATCGACATCTGTGGCAACCACTTCAAAAGCTCCATTAATTAAAGACTTTTTCATGGGTCAAGTTAATCTTGTAAGTGAAATATAAATTTTTATTATTATTACTTTGAATATTTAATTAATTAATTATTTTTTTCATTCCCTGTGTTCTAAGTGGAACTTACGGTCTCTCCGACATCATTTTATTGTTTTTCGCCACTTTCGATATCTCCGATACAGGCGGCCTTCCGCCATTCCGATTGACTGCACGTGTGCGGTGTTGAATCGATGATTAAAGCTTCAGTGATTAGATTGAACCTGAGACCTTGGGGTTATGAGACCAATCTCGTTGACCATTCAGCTGCGTGTGGGCTGAGATTCATTGACCTATCAGGAAATATGTAGGGAAATGTAAAAATAAAATAATGACAGTAGTGATAGTGATAATAATAATAATATTAATGACGACATGCAAGTCAAATGTGCGCAAGACAACACCAACAATTAGGAGTCTAAATTATCAGTAGTAATTCCATACAAGGAAGGAACCTCGGAAACCACCTTACGCAGAATTCTTAGCAAGGCAGGAATAAAAGTGACTGACATTCAAACCAACCACAAACTCAATTAGAAACAAGCTTTGTCGGTTAAACGATCAATCCTGTGGAAACAATTTAGTTTATCTAATACCCTGCCGGAATGATTATCAGGTCAAATACACAGGTCAAACTAGTAGAACAGGAGCAGTCAGACTGGCCGAACATAAAAACCTAGCAAAATCTAGACTGGTTGACCCAAATAAGATAAGAAATCTGGAGAATAGTTCAGCTATGGCACTACATGCAGTTACACACAACCACGCAATAGGATGGGATAGGATGACAGTTTTAAAATTGATAACAGAAGCTTTGTTTATCGAATCAACTGCGAATGCGTGTAATAGGAATGATTCAACACCTGTCCAGGAGGATATCTGGAAAATTCTACTACCCCAACGACGACAATTGGGAGAAGACAAAGAAAAGTATAAAACTCAAGTTTCGAAGTCGTGTAACTATAATTGATGAAATGATTATGAACAATAAATTTTGTTCGAAACGTCATCCAGTAAATAATAATACTGTTTCACTCACTGTGATACATCTAATAAACAAACTAATATGACCTGTGAATTCCGACTTTGTCAATTTGTGATATACTGCTACACTCACCTCAGTGTTTTCAATGAGTACCCAATTGACAGGCTGGACCCCACTGATCATAACTTCTCACTCAACACAGCTTCAGAGCTTCCATACAGTAGGTATCAATGAGCTACAGGAAGGTCCATCACAAGCCCGAATAACTGCTCAGTGGTAACGTCTCTGACTGCTAGTGTGGCACTGGGTGATGTGGGTTCCAATCTCAGAGGGGATATGAATCCCTTCAGGGGTTACAGTTACGCCGTCTTGCTGACTGGTGAATGCCAACAAGCACGAAACCTCGGTCCCTGTAATACTTCCTACCGATTGCCTCCAACCATCTAATAATACCAACAATTCAAAGTGCACCGTGATGGTGAACCACCTAGTGACATGATGATAGCCACATTGCAAGCTTGACTGATAGAATCCAGTATGCAGCAAATGAGAAAGAACTAGACACATTACACTAGTTACTGTGACTAGTATCATCCAATCAAAAATATCAATGAACTATTGATTGATATTTTTAGATAATGGTTGAATTTTTTTATCACCGAAATTTTTATTTAAATACAAGTCGCGTAAAATTTCAGTTGAAAATAGCGCGTAAAATTTTGTTTTGTTTTTATGAAAATTTTCTTTTAAAAGTCGCATTTTTTTGTAACTTGCACATATGTCTTCTTCTACTTATTCGCTTTCTTACACCCACAGGAATTGTTCGAATTCCCTGAACTAGAAACCAGGAGTAAAGTGGAAAATCTAAATATGATGCATAATCAAATCAAGCAATTCATACTAAAAAGTTTGTGATTTCTTTCTTTGTTTTTGTCTTGTTCAATGCTCATCTCTGTTCTGTTATATGTAAGGATGGATTTATTGATGATGTTATAAACTATTTCTCAACAAGTTATATACAATGCACATTTTCTGTCTTCACTAAATAGTTGGCGAATTATGTATTATTATTATTATTTCCTTTAGTTCTTAGAGCAACATAGGGCTTCAGCCACACGTCTCCATTGCGTTCGGTTCTCCGCCTACATTTTCATCACCTGACTCCACGTCTGCCCATATACTTTTATCTCCTCTTTGCATAATCTCCTCCATGTCACCCTCTCACTGACGTCCAACTCGTCGCTTCCTATTCGGGTTCCACTCGAGCAATGGCCTGGCGTGTGATACCACTCACTTGATGGTTTGTTTCTTCAGAGTATGGCCTTCAATCCACCTCCATTTCTTCCCATATATTTGTTGCACAATTGGTTCCTGCTGGATTGATTCGCTCATGGCCAAAGATCCCTGTTGCTGATCATTTCTGGCCGGCTATCTGATCTTGAGTGGTGGTATTGAGCGAAGACAGCTGTTGATGAAGGTGTGTAGTTTGTTCGAAGCGCCCTTCGTGAGACGATGCCAAGTCTCTGATCTGTATAGTAGCATTGACTTCACATTGGAGTTGTAAATCTGGACCCTATTTTTCATGCTGAGTAAAGCTGTTGATCTCTACACAGATTTGAGAGTAATGAAAGCTTTCCCGATCCTCGCTTTGATATCCTCTCTAGTTCCGCCTGTAGTTGAAACGATGCTCCCAGTTAACTAGGTAAAGGAGGTTGCTTCTTTCAGATTTCTTCCATTTATGCTGGCTGATTGTTGTCTGTTGTTGTTGCTGTTGGTGTTGGCCAGGAATCTACATCACCTCTTTTTTATCTATGTTCACCTGAAGTCCTATCTTTGATGCTTCTTCTGCCAACTTGTTGCTTTTCGCTTGCAAATCTTCCAGTCTGTGGGAAATCAGACATATATCATCGGTGAAGTCCAGATCCTCCAGGCTTTTTGTGAGGGTCCATTTTATGCCTGTCTCCTCGTTGCCTGCTGTCTGTCTGTTTGTCGCATTATCCAGTCTACCGCAATCAGGAAAATCATTGGAGATAGTAGGCAGCCAGCCAGTTTGTCTTGCTCCTGTCTTTACTTTGAAGGATTCCGTGAGTTTTCCGTTGTGTCGTATTCAAAGCCAACTGATCAGGTAGTTCGCAAGTACTCAATTGCTTGGAACAGATTCTATTTTGTACCATGCTATGAACCAGACCTAGTGTGTAAAGGATATTGATACTACCTGGTCGCGCAGGCTTGAATAGAAGGTGTAGGGGTTGGCGGGAATTCTAAGCATGCAAGCTATCGGCTGAAAATCATATGTTTAAGTCTAATGGCTCATATCTCTACAATCGCTCTGTTCAAAATTGGAGCGGTATTCGACTTTCGATTTCTGCGCTGTCTATTCTTAAACTAAAAGTTCTTTTAGAATAGTCTTTTTTAGAATCAGCCTACAACAAATTCGAGAATTCGAATACTGTTTCCATATTTGGACAAAGCATATTCAGTTGACTACACATTTTATTAACGTTTTCTTCTGCAAAGTTGCCCTATTATCTCCTTAATTTATTTCAACGAAAGTTTTCCTCTGTGACAAGATAAATCTGAATGGCTGAAATCAGATATAGTTGCTCCCTGAATGACTGACTTGTTTCAACATAAAACTTTCCACAGATGTGCACCACTTCCATTTGCCATACTCCAAGTGTACCACACAAAGCAAGAGAAGAGAGTTAAGACCGATTCAAAAGAGACATAATCAACAGAAGTGTGAGTCAGGAGAAAAGAATAGTAATATAGAACAAGAAGAGTTTTACTGGATCTGAGAAGTCACAAAGGGCTAGTGCATCTGCACCATCATTGAGAACGACGATTTTGAGCCATATCATCAATTGTCCTCAGCCTTCATTGGTTCTTACCGTCTAGAGGACCACAACCAGATAGCCAGTCCACAACTCCCGACGTGGCTTAAACTAACTATTGTGGATTTCATTGATTGATGAGGCCATGTTATGGTTTGACCACTACTAGCTTTCCTTTTTCCAACCTGATCCATCCTATGTCAGCTAACACTGCCGTCGGTTGAGGAAGGCGATGGATGGCTAGGCATGTGCAACATATATTCTAACCAATTCAGTCGCTGTAACTTTACAACTACCTCGTCGACCGATTTCCCCTCTTCACCTAGCACTCGGCCACCGATGATTAACCTGAATACTGCTCACCTTATTATACCACTTAACGCGGTAGATAGAACGCAGACACCTTTGATCAAAGATAACTATCCTTTTCATGTCTTCCACTTTCAATGGCCTTGTCTCATAGCCTTAAAGAAGCATGCCACGAACTGCTGAGCAATACCTGCGTTGTTTGATCGATAGCCTGATATGATGTCAACGTTAGGAATGGCGTAAGTTGACGTTTACATATAGGATTTCTTTCTCCGTGTTGAAATTTCGTCATCGATCAACCCACTAGCGTTGACTAATGCAACTTCCCCCCTCAAATAAGTGAAGTGGTCAACACACACACACACCGGTGCACATCTGTGCAAAGTTCTATGTTGAAACCAGTCAGTCAAATCTGTTTATAATATAGTTCGTTCGCCAAATCCTTTTTCAAACTTCACATCTACAGGACGTTTGGATTTTGCTTTATAGTATCCATTGTTTTCTGTCATTGTTGTAGGATATAGACCAGGGATGGATATCAGTTAAAGAGCCATTGAAAACTCAAAGAGTACTGGACAACTGTTTCATCCTAGTTTAGGATTCATTGACAGTATGTGCCCACTGAGTTCCGAACCCAGAAGCCATTCATCATCAATTTGGTCCCGACTCAATGGCGCATGATCACTGGTGTGATTGAGTTTGTCGTCACTGCCGAACAGATTGACCTGACCCCACACTAGTCTCGAACTCTCACTAGAACTCTAGGAAACGTCGTTCTATAGCCAGTCACTAGGCATCAGTTGTCACCTAGTCACCTATCATCACACTACTGTGAGAATGAATTTGTGTGACTAAACAAGAAAATGATTAAATATAGGGTATTATGAGGTCAAAATTGATGTATTTGTCATAAATTAGATGTTTAATTTTATTTCGGTCTAATTAAAATAGTTGTGCGTTGGTAGCACAGCAGGTAGAATTCTCACCAACCACGCCTCACGTGGTTCACGGTTCGATCTCCGACCACTGGACGCGCACTCCTTTACCTTGCTAAACCAGTTATAATAAGACTGGTAAAAAGGGAAAGGTTGGGCACATGAGGCTAGTAAAAGAAATATATATCATTGCTACTTAAACTTCAAAGCTCTAGGTTGAAGTCCCCTGTCTGTCTGTCTGTTTTCGACATAGAACTTTGCACTGATGTGCAACGGTTCAAGTCGCCACACTCCCTCCTTGAACCACACAAAGCGAGAGAAGAAAGTAGAAGAAATGCATAATAGAGACAATGAACAGAGGTGTGAGACAAAGGAATAGTAATAACGAAGAACAATAGAGTTTGATTGGAAATCATAAGTCACAAGGAGTGGATGCATCTTCGCCAGCCATTATTGAGAACAATCACTTTGAGCCATATCACCAATTGTTTCCAGCCTTCATTGGTTTTTACAATCCCGAGGACCCCAACCGTTCAGGCAGTCTACATCTTCCTACGTCACCGGCTTAAACTAACTGTTGTGGATCTCATCGACTGATGAGATCATGTTTTGGTTTGACCGCCGCTGGCTCTTTTCCAGCCTGACCCCTGTGTCAGCTAACATTGCCTGTCGATCAAGGAAGGCGATGGCTGGACTAGGCATACGTAACACATGTCCTAACCATGTCAGTCGATGTAATTTCACAGCTTCGTCGATTGATTTCCCCTCCTTACCATCTACTTAGCACTCGACCACCGATGGCTAACCTCATTATTGCTCACCCTAGTATACCACTTCACACGGGAGATAGAACGTAGGCACCTATGATCAAAGACAGCTAGCCGGTCTTTTCATGTCTTCCACTCTCAATGGCCAGGTCTCACAGCTAGCCATAAAGGAGGACGAAGCGAACTGATGAGCAGTACACCAGCACTTTGGTCGATAACTAACCGGATACCACGTCTACTAAGCCAGAAACGGCGTAAACTGCCATATTCGAAACTAGCCCTCTGTATCCGTACTGAGCTGAGATTTCGTCAGAGATCAACCCGCTGATGGTGCTTCCCAAATAAGTGAAGCGTTCAACGTGCTCTACCAGTTTATTTCCTATATCTAAACTAGTATTCAGTGTAGTCCAGTCCTTACATTTGAAAGCAGCGAATTGCATGCGAAATATTCGTAGATTGCAGCTCAATGTGTTCAGAAAACTCTGCTTCATGTCAGCGTCCTCGCCCCCTATGTTCCACTGAGGGGAGGGGAGCTGACGTAAAGGAATAAAAAAAAGAAAATTGAAACAATTAACCGTCAAAATTGTCACTAAACAACCTTTCTTTCTTTTCCTTTCTTTTTCTCTTCCCCTTTCTGTTTTAGTGAACAGTTATGAAATCGATAGAAACACTGGCTTATCAAAAGAATCCATACGTAAATTAAATGATATAGGTCTACTGAGTTTATCGATTGATAGAGAATATCATGGCTTGGGTTTTAATACAACTCAATGGACTAGAGCTGTTGAAGCGATTGGATTAGATGGATCTGTATGGGCCACGGTGACTGCACATCAGAATTTAACTGCTAAGGTTAGCTTTTACTTTTTTGTTTTTGTTTTATGGTTTCATTCATTAAAGTATTTTGAATGACCTACTCCTCTCTTCTGTTAGATGATAATAATAATGATTATAATTTCTTCATTATGCTGGATAGTATTCATAAAATTTTAAAGAATTTTCAAGGGAAGTTTATTGCATGCTATTTTCCTTTCGTACAATATCTTCATGTAATATATATATATATATATATATATATATATATATATATATATATATATATATATATATATATATATATATATATATATATATATATATATTAATTGACACTATATTCTGTGAATTGCGCGTCGGTTGTTCAGCTGGTTAACCGTGCACTTGGTCTGGGTGTTCGAGTCCCAACTGACGCACACCTTTACCTCCCTCAACAACCGGTGATAATCCCGGGGAAGAGGGAGAAAGGTTACGTGTGAGGCCAGCAGCAACATCATCCTGTAAAAAACACTACTCTTACTGCATTATAGATAAGATTTTATTTTGATAAATCACACAGTGTTCTCCTTCATTTATATACATGTGTGGAATTAACTAGATGTTTGAATAAAAATCAATATGTGATAATGTACATTCAGAAATAATACTATGAGTGTTATTCACCAATAAAGATCAACATAAATAAGAAAGAATATAAGTCATTCATACGAATTGTGATCAAGATTTGACCGGATAGTTGCAAAATAATTGAGCGCTGAGTGAGAAGTAGACATTTATAAAGTTATATTTGTAATTTTATTATGTAATATCATTATGTCGAGTCATCCCGTGTTATACCATATAAGGAGGGGAAATATGAGACCCTCCCTAAGTAGGATTCTTAATAAAGCAGGAATTAGGGTGGTGGTATTTAAACCTACAAACTCACCCACTCAGGGACAAGCTCTGTAGGTTAAAGGACTCTATCGGTTGACCGAATTAAACCAAATAATATAATTTACAAAATATTCTGCAATGACTGTGAGTTGTGGTCAACTATATAGGTCAAAGTAGTAGATCGGGGATAATCAGATTGGTAGAACATAAGAATTTAGCTAAGGGAAGAATGGTTGACCCCGAGAAGATAAGTAATTTAGAATAAAAAAGCTCAGCGATTGCACTTCACACATTAACACACAACCACACAGTAGGGTGAGAGAGGGTTAAGATTCTAAGAAGTAATCTATGTAGGTGGAGAGAGAGGTGGCTGATTACTGAATCCACCCAACACCCAACACAACACATGTGGAATAGAAGTGACTCAATGCAAATAGCAGAAATATGGAAGATATTATTACCGCCAGTCAGTCAAATCAGAGGAGGATAATAAATAATCGTAAAATTCTATTTCAATTCAATTCACGTACATCACCACATTCTAACAAGTTACTTATTTATTTTGACTATAAAAACACTCATCTTATTTCTCATCTGATTGTAATTGATGATTAACATTCATATTATTATTTCTGAATGTACATTATCCTATGTTGATTTTTATTCAAATGTCTAATCATCAATTCCACTTATGGATATAAATGAAGGAAAAAGTTGTGTAACTTGATATGATTATGACCGGAAATAGTTTGTGCTCGAAACGTCATCAGTAAATATTACTGTCTAACAACACTGTGACTTATCAAAATAAAATCTTATCCATAATGGAGTTAAATTCTACCACCACAGTGCCCAAGTTTTATACTTATATCTATAGTCTACTACGGTGCACAATTTCTATTCGTATATCAAAGAAACTCTGCTAATTGGCACAATCATCGTGTTTTCACTCTTCGTTGTCTGCAACAGAATAATGCATATCTTAAATCCGTCCGTTGCTGTCGAGTCACCTGACAACTCCAGTAGTTAGAATAAAGCAGCTCAATCTTCAGAAACAAGAAGACAAAGCAATAAGTTCGACAGGCTGCTTCAACTAAACTCTAATCCTAAACACCATAATTTTAAAAATACGTCTAATCATAAAATTCCAGATACTAACAGTTTGAACAGGCATGAAGGTGTGATGTTAGATGACGCATAGGAAATCCTGATTAATAAATAAGAATGGATATGTATCACTAACTAATAATACTTGGTCAAAGTTCCCGACTGTCTACATCTACTTATGGAGACGTTAAGACATTGTTTTACAACTGTTTATCCGCACACACACACACACACACATACACACTGTGTTTAAAGTGTTTAACAAAGGTAGATCATTATTTGTAAGTCTGAGGTCAAATTTTGATCACAACTCGTACAATTTTGTTTATTATACTTGTTAATATTTGTTTTATAAATCCTGATTGGACAAAGTTTTTAAAAACTAAAGATGTTCCTTCTATATATAAACCTGTTATGTTAATTTCGATTAATTTCCCTGAAGAAGTTCGGACCAGATTGGCGAACGAAACGTTGGAATTACTCATTTGAATATCGCTGAGATTATACAAATATAATTTTTTACAAATGTCATTTTGGATATATATTTAATCGGTAGCAGTGGAATCCAGGATGCGCATTTCTTCCTATTTGGGACTCGTTTTGTTGGCTGGATGTACCTGCATTCCCCAGTGAGTGATGATGTTCCCACCGAGGCTCAAACCCAGTGCCCATAGAGTTTCCAACGCCAAAGCCGACATGTCCACCTGAGACCGAGCACCTCGGTTCAATCAATCAACGGGAAAATCTGAAATTCAATTAAAGTCTTTTTGGATACTTAAAATAAATGAGTCCTCTCTTTGTTTTTGAATTATTCTCTGTACTAAAAGTCAATCTGAACGAAGAATATTCTTTTCAATAATTTCTCATCAGGTTCTTACAATTATAAAATATAATATTTGTGGTCGTTACAATAAAGATAGCCAGGTATGCGGCGGATACATTTTTTAACGTAGAATAACAGATTAGTTATGGGGTGTCAAAATAAATAGTCATATTTGTGTGACAAACGTGCTAGGCTGAAATCGATTAGAAATATTGTAAAACGGGAGACAATAGTGGTGGTTAATCATAATGGAATTGTAGAGTGTGGGGTAGGAAAATTGACAAATCAGTTCAAGGTTATAAAAGGTGTCAGGTGAGTGGCTAGTACAAAGTGGTCTGAGTTAAGCAGGATATAGTAAGACTGGAATGAGAGGTTCATTGTGAGATAACGAATATATTAAATGAAACAGGTGGAGGCATATATTGAGAAAACAGATAATATCACTAATAATAAGTCCGTACAAATGAAAATTCGATAGTATTGAGGGAATGTTTGCATAAAGGGCATAAATTATGACGAATAATAATAACTGTAATAATAATATTTATAATAATAAGCAAATTAAAAGAAAAAAAAAAAAACAAAAAAACCAAGAGGCTTAAGGGGAAAGAGCACTCTTGGTGAGAAGAAAAATCTTCAATCCAAGGTTGGCCACGGTAGGAACAGCGTCTGGACGTGTTCCTTTTGGATACACAGTTCCGGTTTAGTCGATCTTATTGCAACAGCTTCAGCTATGTGTAGGAGACGTAAGCGAACTGTACGTGATAACGACTTCGGAATTCGGTATATAACTCTGAAAGCTGTGTTGACATCGATGCGATGTCCGGTATCGACCAGGTGTGACAGGATCGAGCTTTTTATGCACTTAATTTCCCCCCTGCTGAACCAAGCTGGTAAGTGTTCTCGAACCCGTAGACGAACCTGCCTAATCGTGCGCCCTATATAACTTGAACCACAGGAACAGTTGAAATGGTATATGCATGAAGAAGAGCTAAGGTTAGGTAAGGCATCTTTGAGTTGCTGGGTGAACATTGGACGGCTAGTGAAGGATAGACACAGACGTGCAGAATAGAAAGTTTTCTTGATCGCCCTGGTTAAACGTTGGGATAGAATCTCTGCAGGAGTATCTCCCTTGAATTGGAGACGTAAAAACAGAGGCTTTTTCTCCACAGTTGTCAGTTCATGTTTACGGCTATTATAACCTATGTTGGCTTTAATGAACTTCTCTGGATATCCGTTCTCGCTTAGAATGTCTCGGATGATCTGGAGTTCATTCTCTACGCATTCTTCAGAACAAATCGACCTCGCTCTAAATGCTAAGCACCTGATTAGATTACGTTTGTATTTCATCGGTACGAAGCTAAGGAAATGTGTATACTGGGCTTTGGTCTCTAGCTTTCTAAATATGGTTCTTTTGATGGAACCATCCTCTCTTCTTGTTAGTAGGACGTCGAGGAAGTGTAAGGATTCGTTGTATTCTCCTTCGTAGGTGAAATGGACCGCTGGGTGAGCACTATTGAAGTTGTTCAAAATCAAATCACTATTTAACCCTTCATCGTACACTACAAAAGTGTCATCCATGTAACGACAATACATTTCCATTCTCGCTATTTCCTCTTTCAACGGACTATTTTCTAGTTCCGAAGTTCCGAATTTCGAAGTCGTTATCACGTACAGTTCGCTTACGTCTCCTACACATAGCTGAAGCTGTTGCAATAAGATCGACTAAACCGGAACTGTGTATCCAAAAGGAACACGTCCAGACGCTGTTCCTACCGTGGCCAACCTTGGATTGAAGATTTTTCTTCTCACCAAGAGTGCTCTTTCCCCGTAAGCCTCTTGGTTTTTTTGTTTTGTTTTTTTTCTTTTAATTTGCTTATTATTATAAATATTATTATTACAGTTATTATTATTCGTCATAATTTATGCCCTTTATGCAAACATTCCCTCAATACTATCGAATTTTCATTTGTACGGACTTATTATTAGTGATATTATCTGTTTTCTCAATATATGCCTCCACCTGTTTCATTTAATATATTCGTTATCTCACAATGAACCTCTCATTCCAGTCATACTATATCCTGCTTAACTCAGACCACTTTGTACTAGCCACTCACCTGACACCTTTTATAACCTTGAACTGATTTGTCAATTTTCCTACCCCACACTCTACAATTCCATTATGATTAACCACCACTATTGTCTCCCGTTTTACAATATTTCTAATCGATTTCAGCCTAGCACGTTTGTCACACAAATATGACTATTTATTTTGACACCCCATAACTAATCTGTTATTCTACGTTAAAAAATGTATTCGCCGCATACCTGGCTATCTTTATTGTAACGACCACAAATATTATATTTTATAATTGTAAGAACCTGATGAGAAATTATTGAAAAGAATATTCTTCGTTCAGATTGACTTTTAATTCATAATATGGGAATATTTCACATTATCAAATCTTATATTCTCTGTACAACTAATTGTTCTATTTTCTTCCTTCGTTTTTGTTGTTGTTGTAGGCAATATCATTACTTGGAACAAAAGAACAGAAAGTACACTATTTACCAAAATTAGCCTCAGGAGAATATATCGGTGGATTTTGTCTATCTGAAATCAGTAGGTTAGTTTTTGGAAAATTCTTATGGACATCCTTTTTATTTTTTTATTTTCAACAAAAAATGTTCTTGTATACTGGGATAATCAATGAGTTACACTACTGGCACAATAGAACTATCTCTGATTCCCTGAAGTTGCCTTTATACCTTGGTTAATGCAGATAGTAAACTGTCCCCACCGTTCTTAAGCATCTCAAAAGTCATTCTATCAGTTCTTGCTGCTTTGTTTTGTTTCAAACAAGTGATAGGTTTTGTAACCTCGGTTAGGGATGGAGAACCTGTGTTTATATCTTATTCAGGGAGGTTTAACTGAATTTTAGATATTCCTGTCGATTGATTGGACTGAAGTGCTCGGTCTCAGGTTGGCATGTCAGCTTCTTGTGCAGATGCTTTGACGATGTCTGGGCATGTAATTAGAATCTCATTGGTCGATGGTGACTAACAATGGAATCCAGGAAAAAACGCATTTCGTCCTATTTGGGACTCGTTGGTGGCTGGATGTACCTGCATTTCCCAGTGAGTGATGATGTTCCCACTGAGGCTCGAACTCAGTGCCCATAGTTTCAAACCCCAAAGCGTCATCCACTAGACCACTTGGGCCACGAGAGCCACCTCTTGTGCACCGACATATCAACCTGAGACCGAGTTCTTTAGTCCAATCAATCGACGGGAAAATCTAAAATTCAATTAAATCAATATGACCCGTTGCACAGGAGGTGGCTCTCGTCTCCCAATTGGTCTAGTGGACAACTCTTTGGTGTTTGAAACTATGGGAACTGGGTTCGAGCCTCTGTGGGAACATCATCACTCACTGGGAAATGCAAGTTCGTTCAGATGACGAGTCCCAAATAGGACGAAATGCGTTTTTTCCTGGATTCCACTGCTAGTCACCACCCACCAATTATATTCAGGGAGGTGTTGGGTGCTTAGTAAGTTGAGCGTGACTGTAGGTCAGTTAAATTACTCCTTAAAGTGTTCATTCCAACCTTCCAGTTGTCTATCCTGACAGCTAATTTGGGCTCCATTTTTCTCAGAGATTGTTTCACTTATCATTTGCCTTTTACCACCTGTTTCCATGATAAGTTTAAATAGTTGTTTGGTGTTACCTATTGCCAAGACATGTTCCTGTCTTTTTTGCTTTTTATCGCCCACCACTGTTCACAGTCGTTTTATGCAATTTATGCAATTATCTTCTAAACCCTATATATATTATTTTAGTTTCTATGCCCCTTGTTGATTGTACTCGTCTCTCATTATTATGTGGTGGTATGACATAGACAGTGAGCTCCAACGGAATATTATTCTTACAGTAAGAATCATTGTGTTTGTTGGTGTTAACGTCTGAATACTATTCACACAGTTCAACAGTGCATTACCAACAAAATACTAAATGTGTATTTGGACGCTCTATTTCATGTCGTTTAATGTAGGCGAAAATCACACTCTCATCATCACCATAAGTATAACCTTGGCTTCCGTGTCTTATCTTCCACTGTTAAAACATGAGTTGGTGGTATAGAGCGCCTTACCTTTTTGTGCGTCACAATTCCCAATACTTATGTAAAACGATATCCCGATATTCAATGCACCTTTTCAAATTGGATTTATCAATATTAACTTTCGATCCCCACTTCCCTGTATATTTCTGGTCACCTGTAGGACTGCTGCATGCGTAATATCCGTCTGTCTGTTTGTCTATCATATGACACATATGTACTATGTGACAATTCTATCCATCCCACTTTATGGCCATGAGAGGTGGCTATTAAACATAGAACATACGAAGAGACTAGTGGTTTTTGCTCGAAGGTGTCTCTGTGTTCTGTCTCTAGTGTTGGGTTGTACAATATGTGACCACTAACACAGTGATGATGCTATGGGTTGGGGTGCTATGTCCGTCAGTTTAGTTGTAAATCATCAATTCAATTGGCTAAGATTTATGTTACGCATACCGCAGCTAATATCACCTTCCTGGAAGACTAATATTGTGGTGAGAGCTGGTTGCGAACAAGCCAAAATTGTAGACAACAATTGACGTCAGTGTTATGTCCCAAATAGGAGTCATGAGAAAAACAATGACAACAAGCTTAAACTTAAGGAACTCATCAACCAATCACAGGAGACTCAACGTGGGCGGGTACGATTCGCAGATATATGGCTTAACTTTCTGAGAAACGGTCACAGGTAGTACAGAATAACCTTTGGCAAGAAGACAACCAATCAGGAGACACTGCTTCTCTGCTGACAATAATGTACATAAAAATCCATAAATATCTCTTGATTTTCTCAGTAAATGATCCCGTCGCCTGGCCCTTGTCTCTTGTCGTTAAAACATTAGCTGAAATAACATTAGACTGGGAAGGAGTTAGCAGGCGGGTGGGTGGTGGTATTTTTTTCCTTCATGTTCCCGATGGAACATAGGACCTCAAGCTGGTGGCTTGAAGTTTCGGTAGCAGTGTTTATTTTACAGGATGGGGTTGCCAGCTTCATGCCCAACCTTTCCTCTTTACCAGAATAATTTCTGGTTTAGCGAGGTAAAGGAGTGCGTTGGCTGGTAGTCGAACCCCGGACCATGTGCATGATTGGCGAGCGTCCTAACCACTATTCCACCGACGCACGGGTGGGAGTGGTGGTGGTCCGATGAAATTATACCACCGATACATATGAAGTTATTGACTGTTGGTTTGACCCATTTAAGCAAATTTAGACCCACCTAGGTGGATCCATCAAGATGCTGAGGGTCAGTTGTTACATAATGTAGGTGATACGACTCAGAATTGTTCACAATAGCCTCAGGTGTACTTACGTTTTTGTATCTTCCAGATTCTAAAATCCTCATTATACTACATTTTTGTGCTATTTTTACGCTGAAATTCTGTTCAGTTCTTCTTTACAATGGACATATTTGGTGAAGTCTTTAGCAGTTAAGTTGTTTTTTTCTTACTTTAAAGTGTGCTACTGATACGATTTGTAAGTAGTATAGAAATGCAAATATAACTATATTTGTCATTTACAAAAAATCTTGAACAGCGGAGAGATTGATTTAATGAATGATGCTTGTGAAACAACACGGGAACAAAATGAAAGGAAGACAAAGCGACAGAATAATGAAGATATGCGCAAACTTTCAAGTGTTGGTTCTGTAAGGATTTTGTTTGATCTGTTGGAGGAGGACTTCATTGTGAGCTGACATCAGTTAGAGAAGCATTGGAAACCATCTGGGAGTACTGGAAAGCTGTTTCGCCCTGGTTTGGGGCTCTTCCTCAGTATGCACCCACCCGAACTGGGTTCGAACGCAGGATCTTCTAGTTACAAGGCCAGCGGGATCGTAGATTATTAAGCCACTGGGACCCTAACTAATGGTGCGACCACTTTGCAATGTCTTATTCGATGAGTTACTACTGCATCACCTTCAACCTGCTGCTGAACCCTACGAACTGGTCATGACTTCCTACTAGAACCCTAGGTAATAAAACCAGTCGCTAGTGAATGAGTATCAGATCAATTTTCAAGTATTGATTTTTTTTGTTGGGATTTTGTTTGTTTGATTGGTTAGAGGATTTCATCACGTGCAAATGATGATTCTTTTGTCTTCTGCTGTTACACTATTAAAATTTATTATTACTACTTTATTTTTTATTCCTTCTCGTCCCGAGTGTAGAACATGGGAAGGGCTTCAAACCAGTCGGTGTTTTTACTATTACGGGATGGTGGGGCCGTTAGTCCCACGCCCAAAACGTTCCCTCTTTACCGGACTTACCTTGCGGCTTACAAGTGCGTCCATTGGCCGGGCAGTGAACCATGGACGACCACATGCATGGTTGGCGAACGTTCAACCACTGCTGAACCATCGACTCGTGCAATACTAAAATAGCCGAGTTTTGTTAAACAGTTCATTCTACAAAGCATCAAGAACAAGATTTGCACATTTTTTATCACCCTTTTTTTTACTTAAAAGACTGTAGTTTTACAGAACAGGTAACAGTGGAGTGAGATGGCATCACGATTGGAAAATGTTTTTTTGTGCAGTTTTTGTAAATATGTAAAATAAAAACACCAATTACCCAGTATAGCCTACAAGAACAGGATTACATCTAATTATTTTTGGGGTGGTGACTAACAGTGGGATCCAGGATTTGTATTTCGTCTCCTGTTCGTGGGACTCCTCGTCTGAATGTACCTGCATCCCCCACCCAATGAGTGATAGCCTTCCAACTAAGGCTCGAATCCAGTAACCATCGTTTATAACATGGTAAGGCGTTATACACTAGACCACCACGAGAGGCACTTTTTTATTTTTATTTGAGCTGAAATGTGTTAACTATCAATCAATGTATCAATCGACGAAAAAATCTAAATTGAATTTGAAACTTCATCAATTATTGTAATATTAACACATCTATGAGTTTGTTTTGATAACATTTTTTGATACTTTTATGCGGTACTTTCGTATGATTAATTTTATTGTACCAAAATATCCAGTTTCTATCGGTGTTAGTTGGTGGTTGGAGACGATTAGCAGGAAGCCTCTCCGGGACCTAGGTTTCGTGCTGTAGTTGGCACTCACCAGTCAACCAAGCTTGCAGCGTGTCTGCAAGTATGTTTGATGTCATACATATATATATATATATATATATTTGATGATGTTTGATGTCACACAAAATCAAAGACTTACAAGCGAAAACCGACCGAAAAACTGGTCGAAGAAGCAGTCGGCGAAGACAGGACTCCAGGTGAACATAGATAAGACGGGGGCTATGAAAATAACCAACCAACCAACAACTACAACATTCAGTGCCAATCGCCATCAACGGGAAGGATTTGGAAGAGGTTACTTCATTCACTCACTTATCTAGGGAGCATTGTCTCAACTACAGGCAGTCGGAACATACGAGGATGTCAAATCGAGCGAGAATCGGGAAGGCGAGCGAGAAACACATTCATCAACCTGAAACCAATCTGGAAATCTTCGTCACTCAACTCAGCATCAACAACAAAATTCGGTTGGATTTTCAATACAAACAACGTCAAGTCGGTCAGTTCTTCTATACGGATCAGAAACTTGGCGGGTGGGTCACAAAGTATATTTCCAACAGGCTATTGCAGACCTTTATCAACCAACAACTGCCTTCGCTCTATACTAAAGATGAATCAGATGGCCGGGCCGGAAAGAATCACCAACAAGAAACTATGGGAAGAAACAAAACAAGAATCAGTCGCCCACCAACAGCAGATATGCAGGAGAAAGTGGAGATGGATTGGACACTCGCTGAGGAGACCGCTGAGTGACATCGCGCGAGCGTCAGGCCATTTCTCTAGTGGAACCCGAAAGCAAGCGGCGAGTGGGACGTCAGTGCAAGGGTGACATGGAGGAAATCGTGTGAAGAGGAGGAGTTGAAACAGTATGGACCAGTATGGATGCAGGTGAAAAGTACAGCAGAAGGAAGACAGAAGCAAGTGGAGACGTGCAGTTGAAGCCCTATGTTCCACTAGGAACCCAAGGGAGAAATTATATATATATATATATATTATATAATATTACACACTATTCCGAACAATAATGATCATACACAATAGAAACTTTTTAGGATTACGCATTCATATGAAAGAGAGATGAAAATATCCAGTTAACAGGCACCAGGGCAAGGCCAGATTGCTAACCGCTTCTTTCTGGACGCAGAAATCAGGTTTCAGGTGCTTGATGGAAATGGCTTCAGCAAACTTAAGGAGAATCGAGCTCTTTTGCCTATTGATAATTCTGAACGACTTTTAGACGTCCACCTCATCATCCGTGTCAAGGAGATGCCTGGCGATGGCACTGCTTAAAGCATTTGTTCCTCGCTGAAGATGTAGGCTTTTCTGGTACCTGTTCAGAAAATCGTAGATATGCCCTTCTTCTTTCTGTTCTTCTAATGTAACTGCTCCCACAAATACATGTAAATTTGTATTTGTAATTTCTTTTTTTTGTTTTACAACTTTCATCCATTGCCCCACAACTCAAGATTCACCAAGACATACTACTCATAACTGCTTGTCAGTAGAACACACATCACAGTATAAATTTCTATATCATAACAATATGCGCTTTTGTATGTTTCTATCTCTTCTTCACTTCTTTTCAGTGGTAATGATATCCAGGCGATGACAAGTTTAGCTGTTACAAATGAAACTGACGATCATTACCTGCTGAATGGTTATAAAACATGGGTAACCAATGGTGCTGTAGCTGATGTTTTCGTTGTTTTCGCTCGTACACAATGTGATCAAGTTAGTAAATATATATAGTTATGGTGTCTAGGATAAAACCTTGATATTTTGATGCAGTTAGTATGTGTACTAAACATGATTAATTGATATAATGTTGACGTGTTCCACGATTTCGCTAGTCTGAATACCTTCTCAGTTATCGTTTCAGAATTATATATATAATATTATATTGTGGTGAGAGCTGCCTGCTAGTCGAAATTGTGGAAAACAATTTACGTCAATGTTTTTGTCCCGAATCGGGGTCATGAGAAAAAAACAACTACAAAGCTTAACCTTGAGGAATTCACCAACCGATCACTGACTCACCGATTGACTGGTTTCAACATAGAACTTTGCACCGATGTGCAGTATAGTTCGAGTCGTCACACACCACTCAGCACACAAAGCCAGAGAAGAAGAGGAAGAAAGTAAAAAGAAACGTGAAATAGAGGCAATAAACAGAGAGATATAAGGCAAGAATAATAGTAATATGGAAGAACAATATAGTTTCAACGGGTATTATAAGTCACAAGGAGTGGATGCATCTAGGTCGCTGACAACGATTTTAAGCCATATCACTCATTGCCTCCAGCCACTGGTGTTTACCGTTCCGAGGATCCCAATCAGGAACTAAGCATTGTGGATTTCATTGACTGATGAGGCCATGTTTTGATTTGACCACTAGTAGCTTTATCTTTTCCAACCTGATCCATCCTATGTCAGCTAACACTGCCCGTCGGTCGAAGAAGGTGATGACTAGGCATACCTAACACATGTCCTAACCATACCAGTCTATGTAACTTGACAGCCTCGTCGGTTGACTTCCTCATCTTTACATAGAATTCGATGGATGCCCAATCTCAATATTGCTCACCCCATTATACCAATTCACACGGGAGATAGATCCCAACCAATTACAGCAGACTTAACGTGTGCAAATACGATTTGCAGACATATAGCCTGAGTTTCTAAGAAACAGCAACAAAGTTATGACAGAATAACCTTCAGCAAGAAAACAACCAATCAGAAGAAGTTACTTCTCTGCTAACAATAGCGCCAATAATAATGTATATAAAAATCTATAAATATCTGTTGATTTTCTCGATAAACGATCTGTTGCCTGGTCGTTGTATCAGTAGTAGGCATCAATTTCTAGAAGTAGATGTGTAACAACAGGAGACAAGGGCCAGGAAACAGATCGTTTATTAAGGAAATTAACACGTATTTGTATATTTTCATGTACATTATTATAGATTATTGTAAGCAAACAAACATAGTCTTCTGATTGGTTGTTTCTCACTGAAAGTTTATCTTTCATCTCTTTGTAGCTGTTTCTTCAATGCCAGATCATCTATATGTTAAATGTATCCGCCTAAGCAAAGCCTTTGTTCTTATTTTTCTCATGACCAATATCGGGGACATAAACAGTGACGTAAATTACTGTCCACCAATTTTGAATAACAGCCAGCTCTCACCACAAAATTACTCTGTTGAAATAAGAGTAGAACTTTCGCACTGTGGCCTACTTTAATTCCATCGTGGATAAAATTTATTCTGATAAAGTTTTACAGTGTTATACAGTGGTAATATTTACTCATGACGTTTCGAGCACAATCTATTGCTCAGTAAATATTGATTTATAACACGATGAAACTTTATCAAAATAAATTGTAGCCACAATGGAATTATACTCTCTTGATACACCTATCAAAAACTGAGAATTATTTTTATCCCGTGTGAGAGGAAGCTATCCTCTGTAACACTTTTCTGCAGTTTTCACGCAATTTTTTCATAGATATATCTATTCCATACACAAAAATGCCTCTTTAACGTGATTAGTGCTTTCGAGGACATTCGCCGATTGGTAGTTAGTGGTGCTCAAAGTTTAACTTTGCCGATAATTGGCCTCTGAAAGGGATTAAATGGGATTAATCCTATGTATCTTCATATTACTTTTTGTGTCGATAAGCGCAGTAAGGTAAATAGTAGTTGGGCTTGAAGTCAACACTACATCTGACCTAATATGTGCATTACACACTCTAAATAATCGTCTTCCCTGAAGAGTGTTACCAGCTGATGTTCCTATTCCCGACCGATAGCTGCTACCTTGAAGTGGTGGTCGGCTTGCACATCGCGATGACCCGCAGTCTGCACTGGCGGGAACCCATGTTCCTGCAGGTCCTACTATGTCAGGAAGGTTGTTAGGATAGCGATTAGACTAAAAGCAGTTACCGGCATTGTGTAAGAATCTTTCTTACACTATGCTGGGGATCTGAGGACGGAGTTGTACTGCTGGGGAACAGGGGTGTAACAGCAGTGAGGTGTTTCCCTCAGATAACCAGCATGCCAACCAGTCAGTTGTGCTGTCTCTCCACTCTCCGGAGAGAGGGGGTTAGAAAAGGTCGACCCCAAAAACTGTACATCCCGACTTACCCTACGGTGGTCCGTAACCGGCGGTAAGTTTACTAGTACGGAACCAATCCCAGAAACCAGTTCATACAGGCCGTGTGTGACCGCCTGGCCTCAATCAGTTGTCCCCTGGGCTCTGCAGTCACGTAACACAAATCCTCTTTCTGTTTCAGGTACCTGAAGAATCAATCAACTTCCACGATGTGAGCAGCCTTCCTGATGTTGCTATTAGATATGGATTAGATGTGAAGCTATTTCCAAAAGTTTGTGCGACAAGATCAGCTGCCGAAAACATGATAATTTCATGCATGTGATGTATAATTTATATATCTAAGACCGGAGGTTGATGAAGGTAACCAACCAAACAGCGACAATATTGACAACAGCCAGCACCAATCAGCATCAACGGGAGAGATTTAAAAAGAGGTTACCTCCCTTCACATATATCTGTCTAGGATGCACAGTTTTGAACGACAAGCGACAGAACGGATAAAGATGTCAAAGACAAGACAAATCTTCATCAATCTGAAGTTGGTTTGGAAATCGTCAGCTGTCACTCAGCATATAAAGAACACAATTCGAATTTCCAACAGCAATGTTAAGTCAGTCAGTTCTTCTATACAAGTCAGAAACTTACTAGGCGTATCACGAATAGCATTTTCAACAGTCTACAGCAAACTTTTATCAACAACGTGTCTGCTTCACTTGCACCATACTGAAATCAAAGATTGGCTAGGGGTCGCGCTATGTCGTGAATTGGCAGAAGTTAGAATTCATGCAGTGGCCATTGGATCGGATCTCAGTGGTTTAATGGTCTACAAGTTTGCTCGCCTTGTAACTAGAAGGTCCTAGGTTCGAAACCTGTTGCAGTGGGTGCGTACTGATGAAGAGTCCCAAACTAGGCTGACGAAACAACTGTCTGCGCAGTACTCCCAGCTGGTTTTCCAATAGTTCTCTCTTACCAATGTCGGCTGATGATGAAACCCTGTAACCAATCAAATCCCTACAAACCTACAAACACTTGAAGAACAAGTGGCCAGAAAGAATTAGCAACAAGAAACTCTGCCAATGAACGAACCAACCAATAGCCGATGGGGCTCAACAAATATGTAGGAGAAAATATTGAGATGGATTTTTCGGGCATACACCACTGATGAGGCTGTCAAATGACATCACGCGCAATATTTGGGACATCGCTCGACCGGAATCCAAATGGGAAGCGACTAGTAGTGGGTCGTCTGTGTGAGGGTGACATGCAGGAGATCGTGTGTTGGGAGGGGGTAGGTGGGAAGTAGATAAGAGATTATAGTCAATCGTGTGGACCCAGATGAAGAAGATAGCAGAAAATAGAAGGAAGTGGAGATGTATTGTTGAAGCCAATCCTATGCTTCACTCGGAACTGAAAGGAACAACAACAATTATAATACTACTTCAGTATGCTGATGGTTTTTAGTTTAAGTAACTAGTAGAGTAGAGAAAATTATGAATTCTCCAGCTAAGAATTTGTAGTCTCTGAGCGCTTCTTTACCGTATCTTTTCATCTTTTTGGTGATGTGACTGGCTTTCCCAACTTCGGACATCACTTAGGTATTTCATTTCCCCATCGGCAAAGTTAAACTTTAAGCACCGCTAACTACCAATCACAGCGAATGACCTTGAACGCACCAATCACGTGAAGGAGGCATTTTTGTGTATGGAATACATATTTTTATGAAAAAATGCATGAAATCTTTAGAAAAGTGTTACTAAGGACACCTTCCTCTCATATGCGATAAAAATAGCTCTCAGTTTTGGGTTGGAGTATAATAATAATAATAATAATGTGAAGTTATATTTACTGAACAATAAATTGTGCTCGAAACGTTGTCATCAGTAAATATTATTGTATAACACCACTGTGAGACTTTATCAAAATAAATTTTACCCAAAATAGAATTATACTCTACCACCACAGTGCACAAGTTCTATTCTTATATCAACAGAGTAATTTAACCACATTCTACGCATGTAATTATTTGGGTCTTCTAACCCTAACAATAACCCTAATCTTTCCTGAACCTAACGCCTGACGTGAAAATATCCCTAAACTAAGTGTAATCTAACCCGAACCAACTCTGATCTCGCCTTTGTTAGGTTAACCTAACCCTAACTTGTTCTTAGCTAAGAGCGTCATTGGTGTGGTCGCACTCCATTGGTAGTTAGTTAGTGGTGCTTAAGGTTTAACTTGGCCCCCCCCCATCTTGTTTGTTTTTGCTTTTCCCAGCTCATTCCGTCTCTCGTATATTCTTCGCTGGGGTTTTTGTGTTTGGGTCCATTTTCCCAGATAGGGTCGCTAGCCCCCATATCGAATCTTCCCTTTTCTTTTTGTTCCTGACTTTCAGAGAGAGAGGGTTAATAAACTAACTAGGTGTGGTTCTCATGTTATACTCTGTGTATATTTTCCATATTTTTAGCTAGATGCCTATAAAATATATCTGTGAGATCTGTAATCATTTAGAATGTAAACACTCTTTTAATATTATTATTAGGATCAATCCAGAAATGAGATAACAGCATTTATCGTTGATCGATTATCCGATGGTATTGAATGTGGACCGTTGCTAGATACTTTTGGTGCACGAGGATCAAATGGTAGGTGTGTGTGTGAGATGCTTGTTTAATATTATTATTATTCTTTTATGAGTAACTTTTGTTTTCTAAGTTCGAACATGGATAGATATCAGTTAGAGAATCATGGAAAACCAGCAAGGAGCACTGGACAACTGTTCCTGTTGTCCTTGTTCGGGACTCATCGACACACTACGCACCCTTTGGATATCAATCAGTGATCACACTTGATAAACACATCAAATCCCTACAAATCAACTTTGAAAATTAATCTGATGCTGGCTAGTGACTGACTGGTTGCAGGATAGAGATCCCTGGAGTTCTAGTGAGAAGTCGTGACTAGTGGGGTCCTATCCATCCTATTAGGAATTGATGACAAATACTCGCCACGGATGTTACTGACTATTAGTCACGCTAAAATATCACGAATTTTTTGTAGAAGTTAGAATTCATGCGCTTGTCAATGAATCGGGTCCAAGTGGCTGAAGAATATTCTACGGATTCGACTTGTAACCAGAAGGTCCTGAATCAGAACACTAAGGGGTGGTTGCGTACTCTCGAAGTGCTCTAAACTAGGACAACAAAACAGCTGTCCAGTAGTCCTAAGCGGTTTTCCAATGATTCTCCAAGTGATGTCAGCTATCATAATGAAATCCTGAAACCAATCGAATTTCCTGCAAAACCAACATTTGAATTACACAGTTGTTAGTTATAATATCCTAAAAATTATCAATATTGTGATTAAGAGAATGTTAAGAAGGAATTTTCCAAATAATATTTCTGTTAATATCGTATTTTGTGTACTGAAGTAAGCTCTGAAATTGTTGTCCCTTTAAAGGATCATGGAAGCTTTACAATCCAATCATCATCCATCTCAGAGAGAAAATAAAACAGCAGTAGAAATATCCACTTGAACTACAAATATTAATCTCTATTGTGTTTGCTTTGTGGTTTAACTTAAATTAATTTTATTTGCCTTAAGTTGAACTTTGTTAGGTGTGAATTTCCTCCAAATAAAAATTCGGGACGATAATCGAACTATACGCGTAGAGTAGTGACGCATAAAATCCGAAAACACAGGATTTGTCTCAGCAATGCAGTACTATATTGAACATTATAAATTTGAAAAATATAATGTACAAACCTCAATTGTGAGGTGTGTATGCAGTTGAGTGCCGTCAAAAAACCACAATCAATGTGCATCCGTCAATAAGTAAAAACAGCGGAGGAGCTGTGTGTGTGTGTGTCAAAGGCGATCCACATGTTATTCAAACAGAGCGTGAATACCGGGCACAAAATAAAGGGATACGGATAAACAATGTTCAACAGCAAAGTGGTACACGGATGAAGCATATACAGTAAATAATATCCTACCAAACAAAATAATTATTTTACGTCGAGTGAGATCAACTTCAATAGCAACCAGACAGATGCTTGAGAATTAACAGATACAACTTACACTACTTACTAGAGATAAGTAGTGAAAACTTTCAAGACAAATAAAATTGAATAAGGCACATTTAGAAGACAAATTTCGCGAGATGATGGCATCATTTCGTAGTTTCTTTACAACCGCTTTACAACTAACATGGTTAACAATAATAAAATAAAGTTCATGACAATTACTAAGTTGAATAAAATACAAAAGTACATACATGTTTTTCGTAAACAGACATGGAGTGGACAATATCTTCATTTTACCAGTTTTGTTCCTATCCAGTATAAACATTCCCCCCCTAGTGAAATGTTTGTTTGGAAGGGCCTGAAAAATAATGCACGAGTGACACATTGGTGGGTGAGTTTCGACACACACACACATTCAGTTTTATTAGCTAATGATTATCCGGAAAACTTTATCAGTTGTCACAATAAAGAAAGACCTCATCTCGAAAAGACAGCTTCTGTACCGAAGAAAGCCATCTTTCTTAACCTATCATTCAAGGGCGACCAGATTATGCAGTTGACAGCTCAAAGACACTTCGGTTAGCCATCAAACGGATATTCTACGCCGCATCTTTTTCCCTCACATGCCGAACATTTTCGACCCCTGTACCTACGATTAAAGGACGAAATTCTGTGGACTCTACTCCCCTCAAACTGTATCTACAAGTTCACCTGCAGCTGCGGTGACACCTATATAGGTAGAACCAACATAATGTTCTAATGTCGTCGAAAACAACATATTCCGAAATGGTTACTAAATCATATAGAAAAACTCAATGCGATTAATCTGAATAGAAATTCAGCATCATCCATTGCAAAACATTTATTAATGTCAGGTCACAAAATCAATATTAATGACTGTTTCACAATTATTTCATCACATAACTCTAATTCAAGGTTGGTTATTGAAGGTGATGGGAGCACTTTTGGGGATTAGTCGCATACAGCCTAAACTGTGTGTACAAAGGGAACACAATAGACTTCAACCTTCGCGTACCATGGACTACATGACCTATCTAAATATGATAGGTCATTAGTATGTACTTTTGTTTTCTATTTAACTGAGTAATTGTCATGAACTTTATTTTATTTTATGATTGTTAACCATGTTAGTTGTGAGGCGGTTGTAAAGAAACTACGAAATGAAGATATCTTCTCGCGAAATTTGTCTTCTAAATGCCTTGTTCAAATTTATCAAAGGGACTAATTGTTTTAATTTTCTCAAACGAAGGCTTCCAAAAGACACTATAAGACTTCTAAACGGTCTTCTGAGATGTAAAATTGTAATACAGCGTGAACAGTTGAGGTTTTATCGCAACTGCATACAAAATAAACATTATCTTATATCATTTTAGAAATCACTGGAAATTAGATAAGGGGCAGAAGTTGGGATGACGTAATAAGTGTGAGAAAATGACTAATCAATATAATTGTGTAGAATGGACAGAAACTAGTGGAAAGACGATAAAGTGTCTCTATAAATGTTATGTACTCGTCGCCAAATTATTGTTATGTACTGGTCGAGAATTTAATAGTCCTGACGCAAGAAAGACGGAAATCAGAAGACCTAGGTTTGCGATGATACTTCTACTTTCCAAAACACCAGGAGAATCAAATCACAGAAGAGTGTGCGAGCAAAAATATATATGAATGTCTAGACAAGTGTGTGAACAAATCAATAGACAGTCTTAACATGATTGGCTAATTATAATGGAATATCGATCCATATATACATAGCAGAATATATCAGACTGTCAAACAAACACACATATTATATGGATATATATCACCAAGATCAAACTGTCAACAAACACACATATTAAATATAGTATAAGGGGAATATACACAGTTAAAGGAGACAGGTCCATCAAAGTGAAATGGTCACAGACTAAGAGAGCAACAGAAAGAGAGACCACCATACACATATATATATGTATATATATATGGATACATATCAATAAAATCCTTATGAAAATGCAGCGTCGTTAATTAACAGTAGTATAGTGATAATAAACTAAGAATGATGGGGATAATAGTAGATTTGCATAATGAAATGAAGCAAAGTTTTTATTTATTTATTTACTAGACGAAAAAAGTTTAGTTAATTCTTGCCTGACACTATTACCATCAAATAAAATACGTGCCAAGTATGGTACCATAGAATTTTTAAACTAAGACGTGCGAGCATACAGTTTTCTGAAGTTACTTCTTGTTCTGCCTGAGGAGATGCAAGGTGAAAGCTGAGAGTAAAGTGGATGCTCCAAGTCAGACTAAATCCCTCTAGCAAAATTGATTGCACGAAGTCAAGTGCCTATCGACAATGACGTTAACTATGTAGTCCACTGGGATGACACTCACCCTACTGACCGTCTTCAGCATTCTACAAATTGTGACATAGTCTTTTTTAAGCAAACCAGGAAAGAATAAGGGTGAACAATAAAGAAGAATAGGTAGGATGCGAGAGTTTATGAACTGTAAGAGGAGGGGTTGGCTGAATTAAGCCCGAGTGCCTTAACTTCTTAATGTAAAATGTCAAGCGGAATATTTTACTGGAGATCACTAAGACATGGGAAGACCAGGAGAGATCAGAACAGAGAATAAGTCCAAGATACTTAATTTCTGATTTGACTCCTATATCATTGTCGTCAATGAGAACATTACTCTGGCCACGGTAGGACGAGTGAATGTATGTGGTGCTTTTGAATGCAGAGGTCTGGTTTCAGATTCCCCCGAATAGGCAATTATTCAACTATGTTACAGATGGCGTATTCGAAGTCCTTCCACATGATATTGAGGGACTCTGTGAAGCATTCATCCTGGGGTACTCGAGATGTCTAGAATCGATAAGGTGTTCGAGGATGGAGCTGCTAGTATTTTTCTTTTCTCCTCTGGTTAGCCAGTCAATTCGGACAGTGTTTCCGAATACCTTTGAGGACTCCAATTAGTCACCCCTTCTAGACTATAGCTTACATATTATTTCATTTATATAATTCACTTAGGTTTAAGTATTTGCACAGATATGTACTATATATACATATTTCTGTGCAAACGGTACAGTGCTCATTGCTTTTTCACTTTGATCGTTGTTTTCAGTGTTCTTTTAACAGATGTGATCAACTGAAAGTCTTTTTTTGTTTTAATTCATTACTTTTTTATTTTATTTCAGCAATTAATATCACTTTTAATAATGTGAAAATTCCTAAAAAAAACCTATTAGGTAACCATGGTGATGGATTCAAAGTAAGCAGAAGTTTACTTGTTTTTTTTTATTTTTCATTATTTTTTAAAAAAACATTGACTACTTAAGCCATAAATTTTACCATCAACTAGTAATATTTATTTACCCTTTGCATCCTGAGTGAAACAAAAGACCTCAGTGGCGCAGACATTTTCATTCCACTTGGTTGTCCGTTGTGATGTTCAGACGGCTGAATGTCACTACTCCCAAGCTTTCATTTCAGTTTCACACGATCTCTGTGTCATCTCTGGCTTGGCGTGTTACTTCATTTGGTGATCCCTTCAGTGTATATATACACTGTTGAGTGATTTGATATCTACCAGAGTTTTTTGGCTTGCTTATCCTTTCTGGTGATCTGTTTTCCAGTATCGAGGGTCAGAGTTTCTGATAAATGTCCGAAGCAGCCTGTGTTAGGATATGTGATGACTCTTAACCATGGAGAATCACTGACTGCTTGATTTTCTTCACCAGAAAAAAATCTAGGAATTCACATTGTGGTGAGAGCAGCCTGCAAGCCAATTGGTAGACAATAATTTACGTCAATGTTTGTGTGGCAAATATTTATTGGTCGTGCAAAAATATGAACAAGACTGATTCAGCAACCAATCACAGGAGACTTTGCGTAGGCAGATACAGTTAACATATAGATGACCTGACATTCAAGAAACTGTCACAAAGAGATGCAAGGTTAACCTTCTATGAGAAACAATCAATCAGAAGACTGTGTTTATCTGCTTGAATAAACTATAATAATATACATGAAATATATATATAGATACGTGTTGATTTCCTTTATAAACGATCTGTTGCCTGACTCTAGCCTTCTGTCGTTACAATATGAACTGTTGATCAAGATTTGACCGAATAGTTCCAAAATAATTGAATACTGAGTGCTATGTTTATTTCGATTAATTACCCTGAAGAAGTTTGAACTAGTTTGCCGAACGAAACGTTGGCAGTATTCATTTCAGTCTCTCTGAGATCTTTTACAAATCTTGGAATTATTAAGGGATCATTGATATAAGAAGAGAACTTGGATACTGTGGTGGAGTATAATTCCACTGCGGACAAAAATTTATATTTTGATGAAGTCACACAGTGTAATATTTACTGATAACATTTAGCGGACTGATATATATCCATATAATATGTGTGTTTTGTTTGACAGTCTGTCCTTGGTGATATATATCCATATAATATGTGTGTTTGTTTGACAGTCTGTGTATTTGCTATGTATAAATGGATCGATATTCCATTATAATTAGCCAATCATGTTAAGACTGTCTATTGATTTGTTCATTTTGAATATTCGCTCACACACTTGTGTTCACACACTTTCGGACATTTATATATATTTTGCTCTCACACTCTTGTGTGACATATTGATTTTCCTGGTGTTTTGGAAAATAGAAGTATCATCGCGAACCTAGTGGTCTTCTGATTTCCGTCTTTCTTGCGTCAGGACTATTAAATTCTCGACCAGTACATAACAATAATTTGGCGACAAGTACATAATACGGACAATTTACTACTGCTCATAATCATATTATAAGTTATTCACACAACTTAGTCATAGTGTAACGACAGAAGACAAAGGCCGGCAACAGATCGTTTTATTACGGAAATCAGCACGTATTTATATATATTTCATGTACATTATTATAGTTTATTCAAGCAGATAAACACAGTCTTCTGATTGGTTGTTTCTGGTTTCTCAGAAAGTTAAGCCATATATCTGCTAATCGTATTTGCCCACATTAAGTCTGCTGTGATTGGTTGTTGAATCAGTCCTGTTCATATTTTCTCACGGCCAATATTAGTGACCTAGACATTGACGTAAATTAATGTCTACCAATTGGCTAGCAGCCTGCTCTCACCACAATAGGACAAAGCTGTCCATTGAAAAAATTATTTTTCAGCAATTCAGTTATGTCTCATATTTACTATCTTTAAATTCTAGGGTAAAATATGTCGACAAAAAGAAGGTTTAGCAGTTGAATCACCATATATTCCGAATCGTAGAAGATATCTTTATGGACAGCTGGGAAAATATTACTCTGAATACATTTATAATCCCACTCCGAAAATATAGTCGAGATATGTGGATAACACTTTCACAGTGTTAAAAACAGAACATATTCCGAGCTTTTTCACACATATAAACTCACTGCCTTTACAGGAATAAAATTCACATTTGAATCGGAAAATGAACAAAGAGAATTAGCTATGATGTTAGATTGTAAAATAAAACGAACGGAAGTAGGTAAACTGCACACTAGCGGCGTATATAAAAAGCCAACGCATTCTGCCAATAGATATTTAGACTTTAATTCATCTCATCCGTTAACTGTTAAGGCAGGCTTAGTTAAGTGTCTGACAAACCGAGCAATAGCATTAAGTAGTACAACAAAAAACCTAAATGATTAAATGAAACAGATAGAAGAAGAGGTGTTGGTGTTAAATAACCAACTGTTCTATAAAATTCATTAGGAAGATCAGTAAAGGCTAAAATAAAAATAATTGTGAAACTAGTAATAATAACATAAATAAGAGGGAATATAAGTCATCTACTGTTATACCATATAAGGAAGGGACATCTGAGACCCTCCCTATGTAGGATTCTTCATAAAGCAGGAATTAGGGTGGTGACATTCAAACCTACAAACTCACTCAGGCAGACAGGACAAGCTCTGTAGGTTAAAGGACCCCGTCAGTTGACCCAATTAAACAAAATAATATAATTTATAAAATACCCTGCAATGGCTGTGAGTGAAGTCAAACTAGTAAATGGCGAGTAGTCAGACTATCAGAACATAAGAATTTAGTAAAGGTTTACATGATTGATCCCACAAAGATAAGTAATTTAGAAAATAACTCTGCAATAGCACACTGCATGCATGCATTAATACACAACCACACAATAGGGTGGGAGAGGGTTGAAATTCTACGAAGTAATATAGATAAGTGGAGAGAGGGAGAGGTTGATTACTGAATCCTTATTCATCGATTAAAATCTACACCCAGTAGCACGTGGAATGGGAATGACTCATCACTTATACCAGAAATATGGAAAATATTATTGCCAATCAAATCAAGAGATGAGAAGGAATGGAACCATATAAACGAAGTTAGAAAGTTGTGTGAGTAACCTGACGAGTAATGAATTTTGCTCGAAACATGGTCATCATGTGGTAAGAGCAGGCCGTGAGAAAATATGTACAAGGCTGATTTAACAACCAATCACAGCAATGTTAACGTGGCAAAATATGATTCGCAGATAGAGAACTCTATTTGTCGAGGAATCCCTAAACAACCAATCCGAAGCCTGCATTTGTCTGCCTAACTTCTGATAAACAACCAATCAGATGACTGCATTTGTCTACTTGCATAAGCTGTAATAATGTATGTGAAATATATATAAATACGTGTTGATTTTCATAATAAAACGATCTGTTGCCTGGCCCTTGTCTTCTGTTGTTACAATCAGTAAGTATTACTGTATAACAAACACTGTGAGACTTTATCAAAATAAACTTTTTCTCCCTAATAAAATTATCAGCGAGGGGGTGGAGGACACTAGGGCAGCTAGTTTTTGACGATGACTGACTTATAACTTTCTGCATCAAGGTAATTGCAGTGGCTGGGTATCTTGTTGAATTACACTCACTTATAGATATGAACTTTCTTCTGGAAGATGTAATCACTGACTTAACATTCATACTTTATCTCTTTGAAGTTAGTTGATTATCGTAAGGCGGCGTTTTTTTATAATTGGCTCAAAGTTGAGAAAAATGGTTTCCTAACTGGTGACGTACTCTCCACTGTCATTGACCAAGAATTTCTTTTATTGGTTACAGGATTTAATCATGAGCTGACATTAGCTAGAGAACCATTGGAAAACCTGTCAGGGAGTACTGGAAAGCTGTTTCGTCCTAGTTCGGGACTCTTCGGCAGTACACTTCCACCGCCGTGGTTCAAACCCAGGACCTTCTGGGTACAAGGCGAGCTCGTATCCCAGTACTCCCAGGTTTTCCAATGGTTCTCTAGCCAATGTCAGCTCGTGATGAAATCCTGTAACCAATCAAATCCCTACAAACCAACACTTGAATATCAATGAGATGCTCACTAGCGACTTACCCTATTCAGGTAGGTAGTTATCTGTTGAGAAGTCGTGACCAGTAGGGTGCAGCAGGTGGTCGGGTGTGAGGACAAATACTCGCTGAAGACAATTGCTAGGGGTCGCGCTATGTCATGGATTGGCAGAAGTTAGAATTCATGGACTGACCATTAGATCAGGTCCAGTGGCTTAGTGGTATACGAGCTCGCTAGCCTTGTAACCAGAACGGTCCTGGGTTCGAACCCAGTTGGGGTGGGTGTGTACTGTTGAAGAGTCCCAAGCTGGGACGAAACAGCTGTCCAGTACTCCCAGGTTTTCCAATGGTTCTCTAAGTGATGTCAGCCCATGATGAAATCCTGTAACCAATCAAATCTCTACAAACCAACAGTTGAATTTCTTTTATAATTCAGTGTTTCGAAATATCATTATTTCAGGAGTTAATATGCGGTGTGTGCTACTGAAAGGATTCATAAGTAATATATCGATTCATATTTTAGGTTTGGGAAAGATTAAGTTACCGTTTAAGTTAAGGACAAGTTAAGGTTAGGTTAACCCAATAAAGGCGAGATCAGGGTTGGTTTGAGTTAGATTACACTTAGTTTAGGGATATTTTCACGTCAGGCGTTAGGTTCAGGAAAGATTAGGGTTATTGTCAGGGTTAGAAGACCTAAATAATTACATGCGTAGAATGTGGTTAAATTACTCTGTTGATATAAGAATAGAACTTGTGCATTGTGGTGGTAGAGTATAATTCCATTTTGGGTAAAATTTATTTTGATAAAGTCTCACAGTGTTTGTTATACAATAATAATTTACTGATGACCACGTTTCGAGCACAATTTATTGTTCAGTAAATATAACTTCATAACATTATTATTATACTCCAACCTAAAACTGGGAGCTGTCTGTATCACATGTGAAAGGAAGGTATCCTCTGTAACACTTTTCTACAGTTTTTTATGCAGTTTTTTCTTCATAAATATATGTATTCCATACACAAAAATGCCTCCTTCACGTGATTGGTACGTTCAAGGTCATTCTCTGTGATTGGTAGTTAGTGGTGCTTAAAGTTTAACTTTGGCCCGGTATCTCTGTGTATCGACTAGGAAATCAATAATTCCGTCAGCAATCCTTTTGTCTTTTGTCGTTAAAAATAGTATTATTATTATTATTATTATGAGATATCTTTTCCCTATTCCTCTTTGTTTATTTTTCTCCGTCAGTTAGCCCAAGATATATTGGTTCAACATCGTTTGAATACAATAGCTGCTGGTGTCGGTGTATTACGTTACCTGTTGTCGTATATTGCTGAGCATTGTTTACAACGTCATCAATTCGGCAAGCCTATCGGTGATCATTCTAGAGTAGAAGAGAAGCTATCTGATATTGTTTTAAATCTTTATGCAATGGAATCAGGCTTATATTATTTGACTGGTTTATTAGATGCTCAACCGTCACGTGATCTCTCCTTAGAATTGGCTGCTTTAAAGGTGAGAGATATTTTCACGCAATTTGATAACTTTATATTTTGAATTTAACCATGGATTGATTGATATCAGTTAAAGAACGATTGGAAAGCTAGCTGGGAGTACTGGGCAGTCAACTGTTTTGTCCTAGTTTGGTACTTATCGGCAGTATGCACCCACGGGGTTTCAAACCCAGGACCCTCCGCTTACGAGGCTAGGGAGCTCAGAGAACATTCAGCCACTGGGAACCGATTCACTGGCTAGCCCATGAATTCTAATTTCTACCAATTCGTGAGGTTTAGTGCGACTAGCACCACCTAATGCCATCAGTGGGAAATCTATCCCTACTCCCGACTGAATGCACCTCACTGGGCACGACTTCTCACTGGAACCCCAGGAAACTATATATATATAGTTTGCTACAATAACTTCAAGGCACAGAAAGAAATCTCTCAAAATGTATATGTATTCGTTAGCTGTAGAAGACAAATATTAAAAATTCACGACTAGTAGATCATGAAACCTCCGAGTTCACATCAAATCTGAAGGTCCTGGTGGATACATACTATCCTGGAGTCTCAAACTAGAATAAAACAGCTGGTTGTCTAGTATACCTTGCTGGTGTTTTCAATAGTTCTCTAACTTATGTCAATCAGTCGTCAAACTTGTAACAGATCAAATCAAATCTCTGCAAACTAACTATTGAAAAAGAAATAATTTTGTTTAAATGCTTAGTAAATTATCAGAGCACACTGAAGTTAGGGAAATAGGTGGAAACTGGTAGGCAAAGTTAAACTATCAGGTCCCAGGGATGCGAACACTCCAATAACTTTAAACTCGTGTTATTCGTTGGATAGCGAGACCTATCGTTATTATAAATCGCGCTTATATTGTAAAAATAGAAGGCGAGACACGCAAGCCATTTCATTAATCAAGCCTCTTTATATATCTGCAGTTTATCTTCGTTAACCAATCACCGAGCGTGTGATTTTGGTTTAAATCAAGCAACATGAAATAGAATGATCAAATATACATAGAATTCTTTTGTTAATGCAGTATATAACCGTGGGAAATGTTTTCTGTCGCACGTAAAATCGAATGTTCAAATATATATATATAATTATCATTATTATTGCTCCCTTGGGTTCCTAGTGGAACATAGGGCTTCAACTGCACGTATCCGCTTGCTTCTGTCTTCCTTCTGCTGTACTTTTCACCTGCATCCATATTGGTCCATACTGTTTCAACTCCTCTTCACATGATCTCCTCCATGCCACCCTTGCACTGACGTCCCACTCGCCGCTTGCCTTTCGGGTTCCACTCGAGAAATGGCCTGACGCTCGCGCGATGTCACTCAGCGGTCTCCTCAGCGAGTGTACAATCCATCTCCACTTTCTCCTGCATTTTCTTGGGCGATCGGTTCTTGTTTTGTTTGTTCCCATAGTTTCTTGTTGGTGATTCTTTCCGGCCCGGCCATCTAATTCATCTTCAGTATAAAGCCAGTGAAGACAGTTGTTGGTTGATAAAGGTGTGCAACAGGCTGTTGAAAATATTCTTTGTGAACCGCTCGCCAAGTTTCTGATCCGTATAAGAGAACTGACTGACTTGACGTTGTTTGTATTGAAAATCCAACTGGATTTTGTTGTTGATGGTGAGTTGAGTGAGGAAGATTTCCAGATTGTTTTTGGTTTCCCAACCGCTGAAACGATATGCGACTCTTTAGAAATTCATATTTTTGTGATATAGAAAGAAATTTACCGTTGGTGAACTTCCTGAAGATTTATTATTTCATTCCCTTGATTACATTTTTACGAGTTGATCACGGATTGATATCAGCTAGAGTACCATTGGAAACTACCAGGGAGTACTGGACAGCTGTTTCACCCTAGTTTGGGAACCATCGGTAGTACGCACCCACCAACAGGGTTCGAACCAGAACCTTCCGGTTACAAGGCCAGTAAGCTTGTATACCATTCAGCCACTGGATGGCACCCGATTCAATGGCCAGTTCATGAATTCTAACTTCTATCAATTCGTGATTTAGCGCGTTCCCCAACCATTGTCGTTGGTGGGACATCCATCCACACACGTGACATCTAATTAAACCTCACCGGTCACGACTTCCTTGAATATGGTTGACTGAGTTAGCCAAAACAGAGTGGAGAAATGGAGAATAAAAAACTTTTTAATTCATGAATAATTCCCATTCGAACATTAGTAGACAGAAGACAAGTAGTTCAGCGAAGAGTCTCTTTTCGGCGAATTCATTTTCATAGCTGTACAATCGCAAATATATATGGTTATTTTGTGTGTGTGTGTATACATTAAATTTGTCAAACGAAAATACAATTAGTAGGTTCAGATGAATTGGATGTTGATAAGAGGATAGCAACAAAAGTGATGAGTTGTCATAAATGATTGTTAAATAAGAGTTACGTAATGGCATGAATAGTTTGATGAATGAGTTGTGCTCAAAGGGTGTACATGGAAACAAAATAATATACAGAATTATACAAGGGTTTTAAGTTAGAAAAATAAGCATACAAACAGAAGTAAGGTCAAATCAAACAAACAAAGAAAAGTTAGGTCAAATCAAAGGAGTAGTTACCATGCGAGTAGAAGTGGAACCACTTACTCGCATGGAACTACTCCTTTGATTTGACCTAACTTTTCTTTGTTTGTTTGATTTGACCTTACTTCTGTTTGTATGCTTATTTTTCTAACTTAAAACCCTTGTATAATTCTGTATATTATTTTGTTTCCATGTACACCCTTTGAGCACAACTCATTCATCAAACTATTCATGCCATTACGTAACTCTTATTTAACAATCATTTATGACAACTCATCACTTTTGTTGCTATCCTCTTATCAACATCCAATTCATCTGAACCTACTAATTGTATTTTCGTTTGACAAATTTAATGTATACACACACACACAAAATAACCATATATATTTGCGATTGTACAGCTATGAAAATGAATTCGCCGAAAAGAGACTCTTCGCTGAACTACTTGTCTTCTGTCTACTAATAAAAAACTTATCAAATCTTTAGAAAGTCAAAATCTTGAAAAGGATTTCCCTTTAGATCGTTATTTTCGGTATGTCCATTGTATTTCCAGTGTTAGACGCTAGATGAATTCCAGTTACAAGCTTTATCATTGGGTCTCAAATTTTGTAACCATGAATATAAGATCATCCAACTGAACACCAATATCTAGTTTGGAAACTCTAGGTCACTTCGTTTGTGTTTTATGTTTCTATTCAGTGTTTTGACGAAAAGTCAATTTTCATGCAGTAGGTTATCGAATCGAGAGTCTGTTTTTACACAATTATCCAAATGTTAGTGCTACACTAACCGTAGTTGGTGGAACACGTTGAGTGTAGCTAGTTGATCCCTGATGTTTCCTATTTACTGTCATCATAATTTTTTCCCATGTCTTAGGTTCCGTATGGAGTATAGGACATCGGTAGTGTTGTTTTTTTACGGTGTGAACTTGTTATGTACTCGTCGAGTAGTTAATAGTCCTGATGCGGAAAGAGGGAAATCAGAAGACCACCAGGTTTACAATGATACTTGTATTTTCCAGACAAGGAAAATAAATATCATACAAGAGTGTGAGTGAATAAGTACGAAATGTACGGACAAGTATGAACAAGAATCCAGTACAAAAGTATATATGGAAATGACTAATACACATGAACCAATAATTAGCCAGTCTTAACATGATTGGTTGTAATGTCATGTGACAACAAGGTCATACATGTTTATTTAGTTAGTGGATAGACAAAAGCATATTGTCAGTTATAATGGAATATCGATCCATATACACACAGCAAAATATAATAGACTGTCAAAAACAAACGCACACATCATGTGGATACATATCAGAACTAGCTTTACTAGCTTCACACCCAACTTCCTATCTTTTTTTCAGTTTTTTGCAATCGGCCAAACGGGCTAAAGGAGTTTGTCGGTCTATAGGAATTCAATTCGGACATACCGCGTCGCTGATATGTATTCTACCATTGATTCACTAACACACACACACACACATAGTATCATCATTGTACTTGTATAATCTAGACAAATATTTACCACTATGCACCTCTGCGAAGGTGTTTTTTTCTTTGTCCATACTTTTGATCGTGTTTTTTTTTAATCTTCAAAAATTTCCACAGATATTTAGTTCAGAGAAAGTCTACTCAGGTATTGACGCTTGCATGCAACTAGCTGGACGTTTTGCTCTGCTTAGAGATGTTCCCTTCGAACGATTTCTACGAGATTCTAGAAATCATCTTGTCAGTATGGTAAGTTGTTTTTTTCGTTCTTTATGATTGTTGTTGTTGTAGTAGTAGAAGTTGTGCATCGGTGGTGCAGCGGTGGAATTCTCGCCAACCACTCCTCATGTGGTCCGGGGTTCGAACCTCGGCCAACGCACTCCTCCTTTACCTCGCCTATAAGCCAGTAAATAATAATACTGGTAAAGAGGGAAGGTTGGGCACATGAAGCTAGCAACCTCATCCCGTAAAAAAAATAAACCCCACTGCTACCGAAACTTCAAGTCTCTAGCTGGAAGCCGTTGTGTTCGACTGGGATCGTGAAGGAATAAAAAAAATGTTGGTAGAAGTTATTCATAGAGCACTTGAGTTAACTTTTTTTTAGTTCAGACTGTAGTGACATAGAGTTATGGTTTTCAGAAGCCAAGCTTGCTCTAAGAACTTTTACCTTAACGGTTTTTGTTAGCAAAAACTTGGTACATTATATGAGCACCAAGAGATGGTCAATGAAATCGCATAGATTGTCTGAGGGCTGGGCTACTACTCGGATGCCTAGATCGGTGCAAATGAGATTGGTTCATAGGAGTAAATAAGAAGACAGTTGCAGCGAAGAAAATTTTCTTTTCGACGAAGTCATCATCTAGGCTGTACATTCGTGTATTTATATCAAATGGATGGGAAAGTTCCAGAATAATATCCGGTCAAGGGTCAAATTAATAAAAATTAAAATTGGGAATTAGAATGCCATAATAAACAGGGGGATGGATAAAACAAACAAAGTAGCATTATAATAACTAAGAAGACTCACATTGTGCAATTAGGGGTACGCTCTTTCCTCGAGGATTTGGAAGATATGCAGCGAGGAAGTGGTCGAAGAAGAACTGCGTAATCTTCGAAAAACCCTGATGGAAAACGGTTTCCCACCCAGGTTCATAGAAAAGAATCTCAAACCTAAGAAGACTTCTGAACAAGTCCAATCCGTTCCAAAGAAAATGCTTCTGCTTAATCTAGAATTCAAAGGTGATATTGAAGCAGAAATCCTTCGCAGACGCCTCTCAAAATCGCTGAGGAAAACATACTTCGCCGCTAGCCTACGACTGACGTTTTCCTGCAAGAAACTGTTCAGCCAGAACGCGAAAGACAAGCTGTCGCATTGGGCCACCTCAACGTGCATATACCAGTTTACTTGCTCTTGTGGAGCTGAGTACGTTGGCCGTACCATGCGCCGACTTGAAAAACGCGCTCGTGAACACTATCCAGCCTGGCTAGTAAGAGGAGAACGAAAACGGGTAAATAGTTCGGTGACAGAACATCTGGTGAATTCAGGACATTCAGCGCCACTCGAAAAATCCTTCAAAATCATTTACAAGATTCGATCAAACCTATCAAAGGGAGTAAAATCAAGACATCTGGGCATAGCCGAGGCGCTAGCTATACAAAAGCTCAAACCCACGCTTTGTATACAAAAGAAATACGTCAAACCCCTGTCCTTGCCATGGCCATCATAAACAGGTAATTTTTAGTAATCACCATCCCATCTCCTTTCTTATCTAAACTTCCTGTCTATTCATGTTATTTCAAGTTTTTCTTAATCCCTGTTTACACCACCATATTTTCACACCCGAACTTAGTGTTTATTTTGTCATTTTACTATTTCTACATATTTAATCCCTGATTGCATAAACAATTATTCATCACATTAGTTTTTATCCAAACATCTTGTCTATTTTGTTATTTCTACATTTCTAACCCCTAATTGCACAATGTGAGTCTTCTTAGTTATTATAATGCTACTTTGTTTGTTTTATCCATCCCCCTGTTTATTATGGCATTCTAATTCCCAATTTTAATTTTTATTAATTTGACCCTTGACCGGATATTATTCTGGAACTTTCCCATCCATTTGATATAAATACACGAATGTACAGCCTAGATGATGACTTCGTCGAAAAGAAAATTTTCTTCGCTGCAACTGTCTTCTTATTTACTCCTATGAACCAATGTGTATATTCCGTGATTTGAAGAGGAGCAAGGACCGTTCGACGGTAAGGGAACTGAACAAGTTTCTACGTTTGTCCGTCAAGCTTGCTGAGGCGAACGCAAATGAGATTGTTTTAAGTAGTCATTATCCGAGCATTTGACTTCAAGTCGGCAGCTATCTCATGGTTGTCGGTTACCAAAATCCGTTTTGATTCTGGAGCCCATGCACACCACAGATTTAGAATCGGGGTTTATCGTCTCTCCTAGGTGTAGACCAGCACGTACACACCATGTCCGGTTGTAGGCTTCAGATGTTGGCACTTGGCTTTTCACTTATATGAGGAATGATACCTCTATCTCATCTGGCAAAGAGCATTTCGAGAAGAAGATTGAAATCTACTCACTGTTGACTGTACCAGGGGTCGTTTTTTCTAGGAGGCTTTCAAAGAAGACTATTGTTCATATCGATATTGAATTTAAATGTATTCGAGTTTCAGATATACTGAAAAGTCACCTTTCTTAATCCATTAGTAAGAAGTTCTAAATAGCAGAACTCCAGTGGACTCGTTATTAACTGAAGTCTGCTCACCTTTCTTGACTGACCGCCTCTCTCCTTGTGTATGTATGTCAGTTCACGTGCTGTTGTAGAGGAATGTAGATTGGTCATTGGTCAGAGAAGAATGCGTCCCAAATGGATACGAGAGCATATTTCAAGGATGGTTTGATTTAGGATGTAATTGAGTGAGTGATTTGAGAATTTCTGTTCCACAACACTCGATCAATATCCGTCACTTAACTACTCCTTTATTTAAACTATTCAGTGTTTTAAAATACCTAACGCTTTATTTTATTGAACTGCTCACCTTACTGTTTAATGTTTTTTTTTGTCTATGGGTGTTACACCTGTCTCTAATTAACATCCCATGTATAATTTTATATACTTAATGCTTAATGTTTAACTGTGATTATCACTGCAATTATTTTGTTGTAATTGTTATTATTATCATTATTATTATGAATATTTGTAGCTCATCGACTTTAGTAATCACCTTTCATCTAATAGGACACGAGTTCAAGTCTTACTGCATCTACTTCAGCCAGGAGTAGTGTATTCAACCTTCACACAATAAGTGTGGCTTTTAGCCTGGTACATGGAAGATCTTTCCTGAATAATTGAGTCCACCGTTATTACTGACACACACGCACACACACACACATATTCGTTGTCAATAGTGTCTTCGTTGAATATTATATTCTCACTCTTTGGCATACGACTCGTTCCCGTAAAATATAGGATGATGCATGCTCCTAGATTAGAGATTGCGGGGGAGGTGGTGAAGTGGTTGGTGGAGTATTTTGACCACTTCACTTGTTATTCGGGTAGTTGCATCAGCAAAAATCAGCGAGTCGATCGCTGACAAGATCTCAGCAGGCATACAGAAGACTTTTTTTGGCATATATGCCAACATACTCCATCTCTGACTTAGTAGACGTGATATCCGGCTGGTTGTCGAGCAAAAAGGCACATTTACTGTTCAACAGAGTCCACCTCGTCCTCCTCTATTGCTGTGACTAAGACATGGCTATTGAAAGTGGAAGACATGAAATGCCTGGTTGCTGGCTGTCTTTGATCATAGGTGCCTGAGTTCTATCTCCCGTGTGTATTAAGCGGTATAGTAGGGTGAGCAACATTGAGGTTAGCCACCAATGGTCGAGAAATCAGTCGACGAGGTGGTTGTGAAGTTACACTGGTTGAAATGGTTAGAATATTGTGTTACACATACCACCACCGAGCCATCGACCGTCTCCTGCGATTATGGGCGATGTTAACTGACTGACATAGGATCAGCTTGGTATAGAGCTAGTGGTGGTCAAACCAAAACATTGTTTTATCACTCAATGAAATCCACAACAGTTAGTTTAAGCGAGGCATGTAGGGAAGGTGTAGACTGCTTGACTGGCTAGTTGGGGTACTTGGGATGCTATAGTCAATTGGTGATATGGCTCAAAATCGTCGTTTTCAATGAGAGCGGGAAGATGATTTTTCGGAACCAAATAAAACTTTTGTTCTTCCATTTTACTATCCTTTTTTGCCTCACTCACACACTTCTGTTGATTATCTCTGTGTCTTATGAATCCCTCTTTACTCTCTTCTCTTGCTCTGCATGCTACTGGAGTGTGGCAGCTTGAACTGGGGTGCACATCTGTGCAAAATTCTACATTGAATTCAGTCAGGCAGGCAGTCAGTGACTAGTATACCATTTCACTATTCCCAGGACTAACTATATTTTTCATTGCTAATGTTTCTGACATGTCAGTCAGTCTGATTTCATTGAGTTCTGCTTACCTGCTTACTTGGTCTCCATAGTATTGAATGAATAGCATTGCATTATTATTACTCGTCTCTTATTCAAAATACTGTCGGTGAAATCTTGATAACCGCTATCTCTATGTGTTCGTAGTTGTCATCGGACTGACTGTTATTATAATAATAATACTTATTATTGTAGCACTGGGTTCCGAGTGGAACATAGAGCCTCAACAATGCATCTCCACATTCAAGTGTTGGTAGGGATTTCATTGTTTACAGGATTTCATCATGAACTGACACCAATTAGAGAACTGTTGAAAAACCTGGGAGTACTGGACACCTGTTTCGTCAGCCTAGTTTGGGACTCTTTATCAGTACGCACCCACTGCCAGGGTTCGAACCCAGGGCCTTCTGGTTACAAGGCGAGCTTGTCGGGAATTGGCAGAAGTTAGAATTCATGGGCCATTGGATCAGGTCCCAGTGGCTTGATGGTATACGAGTTATCTCGCCTTATAACCAGAAGGTCTTGGGTTCGAACCCTGGCGGTGGATACGTACTGATGAAGAGTCCCAGACTAGGCTGACGAAACAGCTGTTGAGTACTCCCAGATTTTCCAATGGTCCTCTAACCAATGTCAGCTCATGATGAAATCCTGTAATCAAACATCTCCACTGTCTTCTTTAGCCAATTTGTTGGTTTTCGCCCCAAATCGCACTTAATCAGTTGGCGATCAGTGTTTGTAAGTATGGTATGCGCTTTGTACCGTCTAAGTGCAAAGTACTGTTACAAGATTGGCAGGAGCCTGTACCTGCACTCACTCTTGCGTGCGGGTGAACCGCTTGCAGTTGTCGATAAGTTTGTGTATCTGGGTAGTTGTGTGAGTGCTGGTGCAGGGGTGACGGATGAGATTTCCAACGGTATAATGAAGGCTAGTGTGGCATACATCAACTTGAGCCACCTCTGGCACCATCACCACGTTAGCCTGACTGTCAAAGGTTGGGTATACAATGCTTCGGTGCGGGCTGCGCTGCTCTACGCCTGTGAAACCTGGCCTCCCCGAGTAGGCTGAGGATGTCCGGCGGCGACTCTGCGTGTTCGATCATCTCCCTTTCTCCGCAGGATCGCTTGCGTTCGATAGCATCATCACTTGAGGTTCGGCGACGTGTGTTTAAACACAGTGGAGGTCACTATTCATTGAGTGTCATCATCTGGAAACACCGGTTTCGGTGGCTTGGACATGTGCTGAGAATGTCATCATAGAGGCTTCCGAACAGGTCTCTGTTCGCTAGCGCTGGGTCGGGATGGAAAAGACGGAGGGTTGGTCAGCGCATGACGTGGCATCATGGGATGAAGGATTTTTGTGCTACATTAGCATCGGTTGGCGACTCCCTGGTTAGGGTCCGTGAGATAGCTCGAATAGATGGCTCAAAACGTTATCGGATATGGCCAAGAACCGTAATCGTCAATGGCGAACGTTTTGCAGTTTCCTTCTTTCTTCTCTTCCCGATGGTAGTTAACGAATACTGTTTGAACTTGTTAAGCATGACTGTCTTCCTTTCTAGATGAAGTTCTTTATCCGTTCTCTACGTATATATTTCTTATTACTTTTGATCTATGTTGTTTTATTATTATTGTGTGGTGCATCTCTCTTGGTGCCATATTTTATCAAGTTTCTTTTGCGTTTTAATAATGATAATAATTTCGCCTGCCTGCACTTCTTCGAGTCTACGTGACACACTCAGTTGACTGGAGTCTACTTCTATTCCATCAGTTCAATCTTTTCATCATCGGATTCTATTTATTTATTGCTTTCATTTAAATTATTTAATCAGTATCATTATTGTTTATTTAATTTTTTATTTATCTTCAGGAATCCAATGATATTTTACGTATTATGATTGCAGGTAATAGTATTTCCAATATGGCAGAACATTATCAACAAACAGTCTCTAAACTAAGTGTATATGCACGTCATCCATTGACTGGGATAAAGGCTACATGGTTAGCAAAAGGCCGTAGAAGTGGATGGTTTGCTAATAAAGCTGGTTCAGGACCGAAAGTAACTGAAGGGAATGCTTCACGTGATTTGAAAGATCATTTACAACCTACATTTGCTAAAATGGCCACTGAACTTGCTATATGTACGCAAAGATTTCAAACATTATGCGAAATGTCACTTATCACACACGGTCGAGTAAGTTTTAAGGCATTGTATTATTACTATTATTATATTCCTTTGTATTTCTTTAACGACAGAATACAAGAGTCAGGCAACAGATATTGTACTGGGGGAATTAACAGATATTTATAGATTTTTATGTACATTATTATTAGTGTTATTGTTAGCAGAGAAACAGCGTCTTCTGATTGGTTGTTTTCACTTTGTGGCCATATCTTTGAAGGTCAGATTATATATACTTGCGAATCGGATCTATCCACGCTAAGTCTGCTGTGATTGGTTGTTGAGTCAGTCTTTGCTTTTGTTGTTTTTACATGACCTAGAAATGGGACGTAAACATTGACGTAAATTGCTGTCTATCAATATCGGCTAGCAGACAGCTTTCACTACATTCCAAGTGGAGCATACAACTTCAATGTTAGGCTTTGCATTTCCAGTGACACAGGTTTTATTTTGACGTGATGGAGTTGCTGCTGGCCTCATGCTCAACCTTCCCGCTTCATTAGTCTTATTGCTACCGGATTAGCGAAGTTCAAGTGTGCGTCACCGGTGGATTGAACCCTGGACCACCTGCGTCGTTGTCAAGCATTCTCTACTCCTGTAACACTAGAGCACACTAAATTTTAACGTAGCTTTCTTTTCACCTTTCTTATTGTTAAGGTTATCTATGAGAAGTCTGTGATTCTCTCCTGGATTTAAGAGAACTATCTATTTATTTCATGATCCTAGTGTTGGCTGTAAACTAAATGACTCATTATAGAATTATGTGATTTCAAATAGCTGTATTTCTTAAATCCAGATCACAATAATGAGAACAGAAAATATTACTACCATAATAGACAAACATGAATGTGATTCAGAGAATAAATCATGAGTACATCTGCATAAGGTTGAACAGTTCCAAGCCTCGACACTTACCAACATTCTACATACCATTGATTCTTTCTATCTTGAGGAGTCCATGTCCAGTCAATACCTCCATAATGCTGTGAAGCTACATCGTTACGTATGCCCAGCTATCGCCTTCCTCGGTAATGTTAGCTGACATAGGTTCAGGTTCGAAAAGAGCTAGCGGCGGTCAAACCAAAACATGGCCTCATCAGTCAATGAAATCTACAACAGTTAGTTTAAGCCAATGACGTAGGAAGGTGTAAACTTCCTGATTGGTTTTGGTCCTCGGGACGGTAAAAATCAATGAAGACTGGTGACAATTGGTGATATGACTCAAAGTGATCGTTCTCAATGGTTGGTGCAGATGTTTCCACTCGCTGTGACTCATAATTTCCAATGAAACTATGTTGTTCTTCGTTATTACCATTCCTTTTGTCTCATATCGCTGTCTACTGTCTCTATTATGCATTTCTTGTACTTTCTTCTCTTTCTTTGTGTGCTACAAGGAGGGAGTGTGGCGACTTGAACTGCTGCACATTAGTGTAAAGTTCTATGTTAAAAACAGACAGACAAACCTTCATGATTGAATCAAGTCAATACTCAAAGATTACATGAATTACTATCAAATTTCTGATGATATCATCTTGAGATCTTTCCCAGTTCAATGCTATTTTAGCTAACATTGTTCTCTGAGCATGGTAATTATTCAGCATGTGTAGAACACATTTATCTTAGCCAAGTGAATTCATGATTCACAACCACCATTGATTAAGTCATCTTCCTCACCTAAACTCTCTATCTGCCCTCACATTATCACATACCACATTCTCTCAGCTTACATAAAGAGTTGATTGAAAGTATCTACATGGAAAAGCGTGTATCATGTTGATTTTTGTTCATTTTTTAATTTGCTACTATGTCTCATTGTTGTAAAGTGTGGACATTAGATTGCCCATATTAGTTTATTTATTAGATGTATCATACAATGAAGAAACAGTATTATTTACTGGATGACACAGTTTCGAACAAAATTTATTTATTGTTCATAATCATTTCATCAATTATAATCACACGACTTTGAAACTTTAGTTTTATAGTTTTCTCTGTCCTCGCCTATTTATCGTCGTAAGGGTAGTAGAATTTTCCAGATATGTGAGTGGACAGGTGTTGAATCATTCCTATTACTTGTATTCTCTTCAGTTGATTCGATAACACAAAGCTTCTGGTATCAATCTCTCCCTCCGCCCTGTGACATTAGATTTCAAAACTGTCATCCTATCCCATCCAGCCTATTGTGTGATTGTGTGTAACTGCATGTAGTCAGTGGTATAGCTGAACTATTCTCTAGATTTCTTATCTTATTCGGGTCAACTAATCTAGATTTTGCTGCTGGGATTTTATGCTAGGCTAGTCTGACTGTACCTGTTCTACTAGTTTGACCTATGTATTTGACCTGACAATTGAAGGCGGGGTATCAGATAAACTAAATTGTTTTGTTTTAAAAGGTCCACAAGATCTTTTAACCGACAAAGCTTGTTTCTATAATTGAGTTTTGGGCAGTTTGAATGCCGGTCACTTTTATTCCTGCCTTGTTAAGAATTCTGCGTAAGGTGGTTTCCAAGGTTCCTTCCTTGTATGGAATTACTACTGATGTTTTAAATTCCTTATTGTTGGTGTTGTCCTTCGCATATTTGACATGCATGTCGTCTTTAATGTTATTGTTATTATTATTATTATCACTACCACTACCATCATTATTTATTTTATTTTTACATTCCCCTACATATTTCTTGACTAATTTACCAGAGTAATTATTAAGTTTCAAGGCCTCTTTTATGTCTATCATTTCTTGTGTTAGATTTTCCTTAGTACTACTTAGTTTTGTACTCTGTCACTTTACCATTTCACCAACCCTATTTTAGTTTACATTGCTTGGGATGATCCGAAATATACAAATATCTGTTTGAATGTGTGGGTTTCCTGTAAGCACTAGTGTTTAACTTCCCATCTTCTTTCCTTTTTACTTTGCAATCTAACATTGGAAGCTCTGCTTCCTGACAATCCGATTCATAAGTGAATTGAATTTCCCCCCTTCTTTGAGTCGATGTGTTTGAAAAATCTATCTATATCGTGTGTTCTTCTAAATACAGTGAATGTGTCATCGACATACCTCCACAATACTTTTGGGGTGGGGGGTGAACATTTTAATTGCCATGTTTTCCCACCTATCCATGAATATATCTGCTATCTGTAGCAGAAATGTGTATTATTATTATTGTATCCTTTAGTTCCTAGAGGAACATAGGGCTTCAGCTGCGCACCTCCATTGACTTCGGTTTTCTGACAACTTTTTCACCCTGCTCCAGGTCTGCCCACATGCTTTCATCTCCTCTTCACATGACCTCCTCCAAGTCACCCTTGGACGACCAACTCGCCGCCTCCCTTTCGGGTTCCACTCGAGGGCTTGTCTAGTGATGTCACTTGATGGTTTCCTCAGCGTATGGCCAATCCATCTCCATTTCTTTCTGCCTATTTGTTTCACAATCGGTTCCTGATTGGTTCGCTCCCAGAGATCCCTGTTGCTGATCTTTTCTGGCCATCTGATCTTGAGTATTGAGCGGAGACAGTTGTTAATGAAGGTTTGAAGTTTGTTTGAGATGCTCTTTATGACTCGCCAAGTCTCTGATCCGTATAGTAGCACTGACTTCACATTGGAGTTGAAAATCCGGATCTTATTTTTGATGCTGATTGCTGTTGACCTCCACACAGATTTGAGAGTAATGAAAGCTTGTCTTGCTTTTCCGATTCTGGCTTTGATGTCTTCGTCAGTTCCGCCTGTAGTTGAGACGATGCTTCCCAGGTAGGTGAAGGAGGTTGTTTCTTTCAGGTTCTTCCCATTTATGCTTATTGTGGTCTGTTGTTGCTGTTGATGTTGGCAAGGAATCTTCATCATCTCTGTTTTATCTATGTTCACGTGAAGTCCTATCTTTGATGCTTCTTCTGCCAACTTGTTACTTTTCATTTGCATATCTTCCAGTTTATGGGAAATCAGACATATATCATCGGCGAAATCCAGATCCTCCAAGTCTTTTGTGTCAGTCCATTTTATGCCTGTTCCCTCGTTGGTTGCCGTTGTCTGTCGCATTATCCAATCAATTGCAATCAGGAAGATCATTGGTGATAGTAGACAGCCTTGCCTCACTCCCGTCCTCACTTCGAAGGCTTCCGTAAGTTTCCCGTTGTGGATTACTTGGCATGCAGCATTGTCGTATAACTGTTGGATGAGGTGTATAATTGTCGATGGGACCCCGTAGTAGCGAAGTAGTTTCCAAATGACCTCTCGATCGACGCTGTCGAAGGCCTTTTCAAAGTCGATGAAGTTGAGATAGAGAGGTGACTGCCATTCCAAGCTTTGTTCAATGATGATCCGTAGAGTGGCGATTTGATCAATACATGATTTGTTTCTCCTGAATCCAGCCTGTTCCGGACGAAGTTTTTCATCTAGGGCTTGTTTGATTCTCTCCAGGATGATGCGACTTAGTATCTTGCTTGGAATGGACAGAAGCATAATTCCACGCCAGTTTTTACATTGACTTAAGTCTCCTTTCTTTGGAAGTTTGAATAAGTAACTGTTCTTCCAATCCTCGGGTACTTTGCCCTCTTTCCACACCTTCTCCAGTAGTGGTGTCATCAAGTCCGCTGTTGTCTCTGGGTCTATTTTCAAAGCCTCTGCTGGGATTCCATCTGGTCCCGGTGTTTTCCCAGTTTTAAGCATCTTGATTGCATTCAGGACTTCTGATTTCGTCGGGGGGTCAGTGTTCACTGGTAGTTCTGCTTCCGTTGTTGGTATTGCTGGACGTGTTGTAGGTGGCGGACGATTTAGAAGTCTTTTGAAGTGTTCAACCCAGTGCTTTCTCTGTTCCACCTCTTTGGTGATTGACTTTCCATTGTCGTCCTTTATTGGCTTAATCTGTGTCGAACGTTTGCCCGATAGGTGCCTAGTTGTTTGGTAGAGTGTGGCGAGGTCTCCTTTGCCTGCAGCTTGTTCTGCTTCGTTTGCCATGGTTTCATAATATTTTCTTTTGTCTTCCCTGGCGCTTTTCTTCACTCTTTTGTTCAGTGTATTGTAGCTTGCATTCAGCTCCTGTTTTTGTTGCTCGTCGTGCACTGGATAATCTTTTGCTTCACTGTCCTTCTCTCTTCTATTAGTTTCCAAGTGTCCATAGTGAGCCACTGTTTGTCCTGTCTCTTTTTTCTGCCTAGAATTTCTATGCAGGTTTGGCTCCACACCGTTTTCAAGTTGTTCCAGTGCTTTTCAACGCCGACCTCTTCGCTAGTGTTGATTTGTGTCTCGACTTTGTCCTTTATGCTTGCAATGAAGATGTCCTTTGTAGCCTGGTCCTTCAGCTTTTGAGTGTTGAACTTGGCTTGTGGTCTATCTGCAGCTCCTGATTCCCTGAAAGCTTTTAATTTGATTTGGATTGTCCCTTGTACGAGATAGTGGTCTGAGCCAACGTCTGCTCCTCTTCTTGCTTTTGTGTCCAGTAGGCTGCGCCTCCACTTCCTTGAGATTGAGATGAAGTCGATTTGGTTTTTGGTTTGCCCGTCTGGTGACACCCATGTAGCCTTGTGGATATCTTTGTGCTTGTATACACTGCCACCAATCACCAGTTCGTTGAAGGCGCAGAAGTCGGCGAAGAGTTCTCCGTTTTCATTCATTTCTCCTAGAGCTTCTCTACCCATGATGAGTTCCCTTCCCGTATTGTCTGGTCCCAGTTTGGCGTTCATGTCTCCCATTAGTATTTTCATGTCGCCAGCTGGAGTATTGTCCATTGTTGCCTGTAGTTGCCTGTAGAATTCTTCTTTCTTCTCGAGGTCTGCGTTGTTTGTGGGTGCATAACATTGTATGATTGACACTTTCCTTCCTTTGGAGTTGAACCTGGCGGTCATTATCCTGGACGAAATCGCCTCCCATTGTATCAGGGCTTTCGTTGCCGTTGGTGACATCATGATAGCCACGCCCTCGGTGTGCGTGTGGTTATCTTCTGGGTGACCGGAGTAGATCACTGACTCACCTGTTGACAATTTGGTGAGTCCACTCCCATTCCATCTGCTCTCACATATTCCCAGCACTTGTATTCCGTATCTTTTCATCTCGTTGGCGATCTGGGCAGCTTTTCCAGTCTCGTACATAGTTCGAACGTTCCATGTTCCTACACAGACTTTTTCTTTTGGTGCAAGGAGGTTCACATACTGAAGTTCTGTAGCAATTTTTGTTTACAGGGTGGGGTTGCTAGCCTCACGCCTGAGAAAAGAATGATTACATTAAGTAAAAGTTTAGAGAGAAGCAACTTTTTGGGTTGCTCCCCTCAAAATCAGAAAATAACGGACAAACAATGAGAACAACGTCAACAAAGGAAACAGTTCACACAAAAAAGGGCAAAAAGCGACGACAACTATACAATAAGACAACATGCAATATAGTTCAGTATATGTAACTAAAATGATATCTTAACCATAAACTCACTGACTTGGAGCAACTTGAACATATAAATCCAACAATATATACAATTATAGATGTGTTTATGTTTAAAAATTCCACAAATCCAAACAGTGAGTTATGTGTATTATCTGTCAATAAGATTGTATTTTTTGGATTCAGTGTTCGAAAGGTTAATAATTGTGATAATTTCCGCAAACACTTTGCATAAAATTTTAGAGTAATAAGATATTTTATTTATGACCAAAATGTAGCGTAATAGTCGAAAAGCGCGCGCATGTGTAAGGAAACGTAAAAATAAAATAAATAATGATGGTAGCGATAGTGATAATAATAATAATGATATTAATGACGACATGCATGTCAAATATGCGCAAGACAACACCAACAATAAGGAGTCTAAATCATCAGTACTATGTGCGTCGGTGGCACAGTGGTTACGACTCTCGCCGACCATGCACATGGTCCGAGGTTCGATCCCCTGCCGACGCACACCTGAAATCTATGGTCGGCCTGCGAAATTTGGGCTACCGATATCCATGCTGAAAATTTCATACTTGTACCAAAAATACGGTGTGGAATCAAGCTGTAAACAAAATTAAAAAAAAATTAATTAAAATTATTTACATTATATATATATATAATTTCATTCTGTTGCTATGCCTATCCTGCTCACATATTTCGTTAGAAAAAAAAACCAACTAATTTAAAAACTGACTGATTCGATTCAGAGTAAAAGTTTGCAAAGATATGCAGCAGTTCGAGTTGCAACACTCCATGTGGGAAGAGAAGAGATTAAAGAGAGACAATAAATAGAAGTGCAAGGCAAAAAGGCAAAATAGTAATGTAGAAGAACAATAGAATTTTATTGGATGTGATAAAGCACAAAAAGTGAATGCACCTATGTCAGTCATTGAGAACAACGGTTTTGAGCCATATTACCGATTGTCTCAAGCCACTGGATTTTACCGCATCGAAGACCCAAATCAGTCAGCCAGCCGTGCAGTCTACACCTTGCTAACGTGACCACCGGCTGGCTTAAACTAACTCTGTTGTGGATATTCAAATATTGGTTTGTAGTAGTAGGAGTCTGATTGATTTAGTTATAGGGTTTCATCATGAACTGATATCTCGGTTGGAGAACCATTGGACCATTCAATCTAATAATTTAATCTAATATCTACTCCCCTTTTCCCATTGCTTGTATATATAAAGGAGATTGCTGATGAACAGATTTGGTTGTGCCGGTTAGCAGATGCTTCAATTGACCTTTTATTGACATCAATTTGTTTCGGGCGTGCTTCTAGATCAATAAGTATTGGTGTACCACGTAATGACTATGAGGTTAGTTAGTTGTACTACTCCTTTTTTTTTAACTCTGTTTTCTAATTTTCTTATAACTGATTCAAATGATAGTGTGTTTTTGAACTCAATTGTTCAGAACAGGCTTTTCCACGTACTTGTATAGTGTGAGAGGGGGGGGGTGAATTGTCTAGGCTGAAGTAAGTGAAGTGAGATTTGAACCTGGAACCTAATGACTGGAAATTGAGTATGGCGGCAAGTAAACCACTTCTTCATGAAATATCTACTGAGTGTTGTTTAATGTCGAAAAAGATTTATGCTTCTCATATATTTTATGGTAGTGTGATGAGATTTTCGATATGACCGTTAATACACTTGGTAAGTTGCGCTAACAAATTGCCTACGTAGTCTATTCGCCAGCTTATTGTTTTAACCAATATTAGCAACAACAATAATAACAACACGATTACAATACCACTGAATCAGTACATTCTATTAAATACTATAGGTTCTTCGTGTTTCTTTGTTTATTTATGTGAACACAAAGCCTGAAGAGAGGGAGAGAGAGAGAGCATCATTCCCTTTCAGTTTGCAGAGATGGGCATTGTTGATGAGTACTAGCTAAGTAAGTACAAGACCTAGATTCAGGACTTTGAAATGTAGATGTGTTGTTTGTTGAAGCCCCCTATGTTCCACTCGGAACCTAAGGCAATAACAATAATAATAATAATAATAATAATAGATACGTAACTTCGAGGTATAAATCCTGTGAATATTCCGGCACCCATTCAAAGAGTCAAATTTTAATTCAGATATATATATATCAACAGGAAAATTAAAAAAGAAACACAAATAAATAACTACATCATCAGTATATTCAAATGACTTATCTTCTTTTGATAAAACAATTAGTTCCAGTCGTCACACTTCACTCAGCACACAAAGACAAAAGAAAGTAAAAGGAAATGCAAACTACCTACAGTAAACAGAGATATAGGATAAAAAGAATAGTAGTATCAAAGAACAATATAGTTCTATGGAATACTATAAGTCACAAGGAGTGGAGGCATCTGCACCACTGTTCCACTTAATGAAACTGTTTGTTTCATTTGCGATTACGTCACAAACAATGAGATAAACTTACCTATGATTGTAACTTATATCATTTAAATGTGTACAGATTCATCTTTCAGGAAAAGGTATACAAACAAATCGATGGGTAGCCCTCTTGGGCTCCCGTTAGCAGGTATTTTCATGTCGAAATTGGAGAGACAAACGCATGGTATGCTTGGAGAATTTATTCTGTACAAACGTTATGTGGATGATACTCTCTCATTATTGATGATAATCAATATTAATGACTGTTTCACAATTATTTCATCACATAACTCTAATTCAAGGTTGGTTAGTGAAGGTGATGGAAGCACTTCGGGGATTGATCACATACACATTACTCAGTTAAATAAAAAACAAAAGTACATACTAATGACCAATCATATTTAAATAGGTCATGTAGTCCATGATGGTGAAGGTTGAAGTCTATTGTACCAAAGAAAGCTATCTTTATTAACCCACCTACCATTCATGGGTGACCAGATTATGCAGTTGACAGCTCAAAGACACTTCGGTCAGCCAACAAACGCACATTCTACGCCTCATCTCTTTTTCTCACATGCCGAACATTTTCGATCCCTCTACCTACGATTAAAGGACGAAATTCTGTGGACTCTACTCCCCTCAAACTGTATCTACAAGTTCATCTGCAGCTGCGGTGACACCTATATAGGTAGAACCAACAGAATGTTCCAATGTGATCGTCGAAAAGAACATGTTCCAAAATGGCTAGTAAATCATATAGAAAACTCCAATGCGATTAATCTGGATAGAAATCCATCATCATCCAATGCAAAGCACTTACTGATGTCAGGTCACAAAATCAATATTAATGACTTTCACAATTATTTCATCACATAACTCTAACTCAAGGCTATTGAAGGTGATGAAAGCACTTTAGATTAATCACATACAGCCTAAACTGTGTGTACAAAAACCAATAGACTTCAACCTTCGCCTACCATGAACTACATGACCTATCTAAATATGATAGGTCATTAGTATGTACTTTTGTTTTCTATTTAACTGAGTAATTGTCATGCCCTTTATTTTATTTTATGATTGTTAACCATGTTAGTTGTAAAGCGTTTGTAAAGAAACTGAGAAATGACGAGATCATCTCACGGAATTTATCTTCTTTCATTTATTTTTTATCCCTTTTTGTTTCAGAAAACTTTAGTGCACGCGTTTAGCCGACAAGCACTTCAGCGTGTTAAACACATTTTAGCTTATACACATGAAATGGATCGTTATCAACATCGTGTTGCTAGTGAACTATTAACACAACGTGCCTATCCTGTATCTCATCCCTTAACGCGTGTATGGTAACAATAATGATGATGATGTGGTTGTTGTAGTTCTCCTCAGAAGCATCTATTGTCAATCAATCAATAAATTTGTGTATAAATGAAAAAGTATTCAAATTATTATTATTATTTAATATTGTAGTTATGGTGGCACTTAGAAGACTAGAGACTTTATAAAAGAATGTTTATTTTTCAAAAGAATGGATACTGAACAAAGAGTACTCTTTTCGATAACCCCTTCATCATCAGGCTCTACAGTTATATATATATACATTATAGTGAATGAATGAATTAGTGTTATGAACAACATCAAGGTTGCTGTTTAAATGACATCGAATCAATAATATCAATAGATAAGAGGGGGAGGGATTCTTCCACGCTGGATTTGTGGCCGGTTTGCACCAGATGGACCAATATTGAACTGTTAATGGTTTTTACTACACCTTTGCTTAACCAAACTGGGAGATGTTCTCGAGCACAAAAAAAATCAAGTACCTAGAGCAACGGCCAATATAACTCACCCCACTCGTTCATGAGAACATATCCCAATATGGCTAAGTAAAGGTGTAGTGAAAACCATTAACAGTTCGATATTGAACCATCTTGTGCAAACCGCCTACAAAGCCAGCCACCGTGGAAGAATCCTTCTCTATAATCTACCGAGTGCTTAATAAATTGTCAAAATCATCGAGGCACAGCATGCTCCAAACAGCAGAGGTAACTGCAATTCGCCTCAAACAACCACTGCTCTATGTTCAAAAGAAGCAAGTCCAGTCCCTACTACTGCACGGGCCGGCCTTCAGTAGAGACTATAAATTCATGGATTTGTAGTATTACCTTTCCTAATTTTTCTGACATTCAGTTTATTGTTGTGTTGATGCTATTGAATTGTAATCCATTGATGTTATTATTGATTCGATGTTATTTAAACAGCGACATTAATGTTGTTCATAACACTCATTCATTCATTCACTGTAATGTATATATATAACTATAGAGCCTGATGAAGAAGGGGTTATCGCAAAGAGCACTCTTTTTTGAGTGTTCATTCTTTTAAAAAATTTTTAATGGGCATTTTCAATCAGTTAGAACGTTTATTTGCGATATCACATCTCTATGTAGCGAAATGATGTGCACTTTATCTTCAAATCACTATCTGTGCACAGATCTTTCGTGTGTTGTGCCTGCTACTTCCGGCCTTCCTTCATATTGGGCTTCTTTGCGTTGTGTTCTTGCGTCTCTCATGTATCTCTGCAATGCTGAATTATTTACCTTTTCTGACCGACGTCAAATCTATCTCCCAGTTGTTTGATGTTTTTCTGCCGATGAACATCTCCGTTTATATACTACTGATAAATCTTATCAGTAGCACACGCCACAGTCGTCTCTTATTTATCGATTCCCGCTCCATCTGCTTTCGTCTGAGGAACTGGGTTGTAACCTAAGTCCTCTAAGTAACTGTTATCGTTATAAAACAACATGAGTGGTCATTCGCATCACTAGTTAAAAGACCTGTGATTGGTGATGATGATTTTATTAGTGAGAAACGATATATATATATATATATATATATTTTGAGCATGCAGTTTGCTCCTTCCTCCTCCTCCTGCTCCTGTTCGCCTGTGACTGAGACATGGCCATTGAAATTAGAAGACATGAAAAGGCCGGTTAGCTGTCTTTGACCATATATGTCTGCATTCTATCTCCCATGTTAAATTGAGTAATAGTGAGGTTAGAATTGCGTTTTTTGATACACCTGTCAAGTTTTGGACCCTAGATAAGTGGGAGGAACCTCAAAGAAACAACCTCCTTTACCTAGTTAACTGGGAAGCATCGTTTCAACTACGGGTGGAACTGACGAGGATATCAAAGCCAGAATCGGAAAGGCAAGACAAGTTTTCATTACTCTTAAGTCTATGTGGAGGTCAACAGCACTCAGCATCAAAATGAAAATAAGATCCGGATTTTCAACCTCAATGTGAAGTCAGTGCTACTGTAACAACAGAAGACAAGGGCGAAGCAACAGATCGTTTTATTATGAAAATCAACACGTATTTATACATATTTCAACTACATTATTATAGACAAGCGCAGTCATCTGATTGGTTGTTTATCAGAAGTTAGGTAGACAAACGCAGGCTTCTGATTGGTTGTTTCGGGATTCCTTGACAAATAGAGTTCTCTATCTGCGAATCATATTTTGCCACGTTAACTTTGCTGTGATTGGTTGTTGACTCAGCCTTGTTCATATTTTCTCACGGCCCATATTAGTGACCTAGACCTTAACGTAGATTAGTGCCAACCAATCGGCTAGCAGCCTGCTCTCACCACACTCGTCCCCCCGTCAAATAGCTTCGTGCGCAGACGTTCCGACCTTCTGGGTGCTACATCCTCTAGTTGAGGATTGTTACTGACCGGCTTGTCCCACTGTACCCATCTTTGGAGCTGACTGGCGTTAACTCGTTTCTGTTTATCACCTCTTCGGATGGTATATACTTGACCCCGTCTTTTTGTGATTGTGTATGGTCCTTCCCACTTTGGAAGGAGTTTCCGTGAACCTAGCCCGCCTCCAACTGTATATCTCCTGTCTCTACACTTCACTTGGTCCCCGACTGCAAAGGTAATGCACTGCGTCCTTTCTTTCATCTGAGACTTCATGACATCACTGCGCTGCTTCCGTATTACATTCTTGACTGCCTCTTTCCTCTCTGCTTTTAATTTCGTCGTACTCCACTTTTGGTGCATGGGCCAGGTCTCATTGTGTACCGGTAATCGTGGTTTTCTACCATACATCAGTTGGAAGGGTGACTTCTTCGTTGTTTCCTGAGTGGTAGCCCGATGTGTTAGTAAAATCAGTGGAAGCTCCGTTTCCCAGTTCCCGCCCTTCGAGGCCAGCCACTCCTTCAGTGTACGGTTGTTTCTCTCCGTTAGGCCATTCGTTTGTGGATGGTATGGGGTCGTTCTGATCCTCTTGATGCCCAGCTGTTGCAAACGGGAAGTAAACTCTTCACTCTCGAAACAGGGACCTTGGTCTGTCAGTATTGTCTTCGGTACGCCGTGGTCTGCAACAATGTGTCTAACTACTGCATCTGTCACGGTTCTTGCACGTTGGTCTGGGATTGCTACGGCGTCTACCCATCGTGTCGCGTGTTCCGTCATCACCAAGAGGTACTGATTACCATTGGATGTCTGAGGAAATGGACCCATGACATCTACGGACCACAAGTCACCTATCGCGGTAACTGGAATCGACTGAAGTGGTGGTCGTATACACCGGTCACCTTTCATCAGCTGGCACCGTGGACATCCAAGTACGTATCTTGCTACGTCTTCTCTCATACCTGGCCAGTACATACTTTGTCTTAGGAGATCGGTCGTTCTGGCCACGCCTGTATGCGCTAGCTGGTGACATTCTTCTATCATGTCGTGGCGCGACGATTGAGGTATGACAGCCAGCCAGCTTCCGTCGTTCTCTCGCCAGGTCAGAGTCCCGTAGGCATTCACTCTGAGTCGATCCCTCTGTCTGAGTAGTGTGGTTAGCTCCTTACTCGCCGTAGTTTGATCCACTTCTATTCCGTTGGTGATCACCTGTATTACTGTATTCAGCGTATCGTCCAACCTCTGCCTACGTGCAAGTCTTAGTGGGTCTTGTTCTACTGCATGCACTCCGTAAGCGACCTCGGGCAACTCAGACTCATCTTCTGGTCTCGATAACAAATCTGCCAAGACATTTTCACTTCCAGGAACGTGTGAGATCGTAAAATCGTACTCCTGAAGACGCAACATCCACCGTGACAACTTCCCCCGTGGGTCTCTCGCTGTCTTCAAAAATTGTAGCGGCTTATGATCAGTTTCGATGTGGAACCGCCGGCCGAGTAAATAAGGTCTCCATTTGTCGACTGCCCATACCATTGCTAAACATTCTTTCTCTATCGTTGAATACTTTCTCTCTGCGAGTGTCAAAACCCTACTGGCATACTCAACGATTCCCTCGTCCTGTCTTAGGACCGCACCTATAGCGTAGTCACTGGCATCTGTGCACACTGTGAACTGTCTTCCTGGCACAGGTAGTTTTAGCGTCATTTGTTGGTGGTCGAGCAGCTGTTTAATTCTGTCGAATGTCCTCTGCGATTCTTCCGACCAAACAAACTTTGGCTCACCTAGTAGCCTGTATAGAGGGGCTGCTATCTCATTGAAGTTCTTCACGAAGCGGCTATAAAACGCTGCTCTACCCAAGAATTGTCTCAGTTTTCTCTTTGAATTCGGGGCTGGAATCGTTTTAATCGTCAAAATTTTCTCCGGCAGTGGTTTAATCTCACCATTTCCCACTTTATGTCCCAACAGAGTAACATTCTTTTTGGCTATCTGGGACTTGGTTTTGTTGACGCGTAGTCCAAACTCTTCGATGCGTCGCAGCACGGCTTCTACATGGTTGACGTGATCGTTTTCGTTTTGACTGTATATGACGAGATCATCACCATAAACCTCCACGTTTTTCAAGTTCCTAAGTAATAGCTTCATCAGTCGTCTGAACGTAAACGGTGCACCTGCTAGTCCAAACGGCATGCGTTTAAATCGATATTGTGTCTGACCCACGATGAAAGCCGTCTTATCTCTATCACCTTGTTTTATCGGTATCTGCCAGTATCCTGAGCGAAGATCGAGAACCGAAAACACATTCGCACCTTGTAGGCGATCTAAAGTTTCTACCACTGTTGGCATGGCACACGGTCTTAACTCTGTCATACTGTTTAACTGTCGAAAATCAACACAGAATCTATACTTCCCATTCGCTTTTTTTACTAACAGCACTGGAGAGTTGTACGGGCTATCAGCTTCCTCAATAATGTCATCTTTTAACATCTCTTGCACTTGTCGCTCCACTTCGCCTTCCAGATGACATGGAACTCTTCGCGTTGTAAATGACCTTACTTTCGGATCACTTAACGGAATTTCATGATTCACCTTATCGCAATAACCGTATGGGTCGCCATCTCCAGTGAACAGATGATCGTATTTACT